CATAGATGTATAAGGAAAATTTAATATGCCCAAGTTAGTGAAAGTCAACAAAGGAAATGCCCTCATTTCATTTTGTAAAGCCCCATGGGACACCTCAACATAAAGCATTAGCTGTATGTTCAACAAAATTATTATTCCTAAGCAATATGATGTTCTATTGAAAGTAGCATTTGTGAATTTGCAATTCAACTCAATTCGAGAAGGGAAACAATATCAGACATGACACTTTTACTTTACAAAAGAAAATTTGAATATTAGTAACATTTTAGTACCTCTTAGGGAAAAAAAATATTCTTCTGTTTGCATCAACAGCATTATTATTAAGAAAACCAGTTTGCCCAACATCACATTTGTACATTCTAGGGTTCTTTCCATATAATAAAAAAAAAAAAATCCAGAAGATATCATTTAGTTTAGTGAGTTTGCTCTAGCTCCATCGTTGAAAACAACAATTTGATTTCTTGAGTACACAAACCACACAGATTCATTTCTCATGGGTGGATTCACAAAAACCAAGCTCCTGAGACTGATGTTTAAAATCAGAATCTCAAAGAGATACTTGTACACATATTACATTATTCACCTAAGCCAAAGGTGGAAACAACCCAAGTGTCCACTGACAGATGAGTGAATAAACAAAATCTCGAATATACATACAGTACAATATTATTCAGCCTTAAAAAGGAAATTCTGATACATGCTACAACATGGATGATCCTTGATGACATTATGCTAAGCAAAATAAGCCAGTCACAAAAAGACAAGTACTGTATGATTCCACATATGTAAGGTACTAGAGTAGTTGAATTCATACAGACCAAATGCAGAATGGTAGTTATCAGTGGCTGGTGGGGGGGGGGGGGGGGCGTGGGGAGTTATAATAGGTACAGAGGTTCAGTTTTGCAAGATGAAAAGATTTCATGGATGGATGTTCATGATGGTTACATAAGGTGAATATACTTAAATGCCACTGAACTGTACATCTAAAATGATTAAAATGGTACATTTTATGTTATGTGTATTTTACAATTTTTAAAATTCAGAATCCCTGTTTTTAATTTATATAGAAAAACACAATTGTCACAGGGACTTTAATATTTGCACTTTTACAACCCACCTAGCCTCTATGACAGAGAAACAAACTAAATCATACATGGAAGCCTGCTTTGAAGGCATGTATTAAAACACACACACACACACACTCACACACACACACACACACGGAACATAATGAATTGGATGTTTGAGACCTCTCTCCAACCCAGATATCACATCAATCTCACAACAGGGACAGACTTGTCAAAGGGGCCAGAGCACTTGGATTCTGGAGGCCAGGATGCCCTGTATTCATTTTAACAATGAGGACAGGCTTGCCAGGGTCTTGGGTAGGGTTCCCTCCACTGAACCTACCAAAATTGCCTCGTTGTTTTTCTCCTATCTTTCCAAGACTAATTAATTCTCTTCTGATTAACCTAACTTTAGCTATGCAAGTATATTTGATTAGATCACAGAGTGAAGATTTTGATTTCTGTTTAAGGAATCTCATGTTTCCCTTTTTATGAGGTTTTAGGAGATACCTCATTGGAATGCCCAGGTATTTGATATTTATAGACCTTACCCATAGGATAGTAAATAAAATGTTTAGTTCAAACCAAACTTTTTTTTTTATTGCTTTATATTGTTTTTATCAAGGAGGGTCAACACTGACTCTGTTCTTTCATGCCACCAATTGTGCTATGCAGTGTTGATGGAGATTACCAGGATATCTGAGACAAAACATGGATTGGGGAAAAGGCTGTGGCAACACAGGGCCTACTTGGGATTCTCTCTCTCCCCCACCCCCATGCTCTTTTTCTCCCTCTCTCTCAAAATAAACTTTAAAAAAAGAGGAATGTGTTGTGATTTGAGAAATACACCATCCTTTCTCATTCATCTCTTGTGTAACACAAACTAGTCACCTATGCCTGGCTCTTCTAGACTCAGGTCAAGCAACACTTACCCGATGCTCCCGATGCTGCTGGTCACTCCTGTCCAGGCTGATTGAAATGATTCTCATCTCGATTACTTTGCATATCTGTAATTGTATAAACTCTCCTGCTTCTTAATTAGTCCCCTTGCCACTAGACTGCAAGCACATCAAGGGCAAGGGCTGTATTTTCTCCACCTCTGAATACTCAGCATCTAGCTTGGCTTACAGAAACTATTTATTAAATGAATAAATAAAAGTGTCAGAACCAAGACGCAGATCTAAAACTTCTCACCTTAAATCTAGTGCTTTTTCAATATATCCCAGCTAATATGGGTGACATATTGTGGCAGAGAACTAAATCCTTCAGATGACAGATTTCCTAATCTAGCACAGTGAAAACAAATTGATGAAATGATTATAAAATGGGTAGTTGAACATGGACAATAAGAGACCGTACTATGTAAGCTTACAGGACACTCAAAGAGTTGGCTACAATAAGCCAAGACATCTAAAAATTTTAGTCCTAAAGTTAACAAGAAGATCCAGTGTCCTTTGTACTGGATTACAAACATACTTGAGAATATTCTGAAGATATATATTGTATGTGACCACATTCAAATCATATCCATCAATAAGTATTCTTATTTGGAAGCTAATCCAATTTTTAAAAAATTGTATTTTCTTATCCTCATTCTGTCCCTTGCTATCTATGAGAGAGCGTAGAAAACAAAAGGGGTAGAATGCAAATCTGTCAATGTGGTTGTCTTTTTATATTCTTCAAGAAAAGGCTTCTTTGGGAAAGAGGTTGAAAATTGGTAACCAACAATGGACTTTCATAAATATTTCTATAAATTACCTTTGTTATCTGATTCTTTTTTTTTTAATCGAGAGAGAGGGGGAGAAAGTGAGCAAGCGTGGGGGGTGTGGAGAGAGAGAGGGAATTATATGAGGGGCAGAGAGAGAGAGAAGCGGGGCTCACCTGAAGTGGGGCTCGTGTTCACTTCATGCAAGGCTCGTGCTCACGCAAAGCAGGGCTCATGCTCACCTGAAGTGGGCCTTGAGCTCATCCGATGCAGGGCTGGAGCTCACCCGGTGTTGGACTCAAACTCCCGAACCATGAGATCATGACCTGAGTCAAAGTCAGATGCTTAACCAACTGAGCCACCCAGGCGCCCTGTTGTCTGAAAAGAATTATCATGGAACCAATTTTAAGTAGCAATAATCCAGCCTATACAGATTTTGTAAAGAAATCTAACCAAGAGTATCATCTTTCCTACTACAAACAAAGGTAAAACCAATAAGCCAAGGAAACTGTAGCAATGTATTTATTGGAAATGAACTAGACATTACATTAATCGGATGAAGATGTAACAATACATAAAGCATAACTGGGGCAACATTTAAAAAATCACAAAAGAAAAAGAAAGTTCATTTTCAGAAAAAATACTGTATCCAAGACACCTAAATCTCTGAACACCATACATAATACAACTCATGACACTCTGAGTATCCAGAGTAAAATTAACTTTGAACTGAAAGGAAAAGTTTCTTTTCCCAATTTAAAGATTCTTTGGCTACCACCTGTATATAACACACATAAGGTAATTTCCATCACCAGACAGTAACTAGATGATATCTGTCATATTCCTCACAGGAAAAACCTCACCTACAAATAGAGAAATTTGGGGGAATCCAAGAAACAAATCAGCTGAAAACCCCAACTTAATAGGGTACCTAGAATCAACATTTCCTAAAACTAGAAACTGCGGTAACTTTCCTAATAAGATTTTATTTTCTTTTTTAGAAAAACTGCCTGGATTAGAGGGCATGCTGATCTGTAACAGGAATCATTACATTTATACTAAGTAATGGTGTAAAGGCAGGGGGTTCAGATGTTTATCATCTGCTCTTCAAGGTTTTCCCAAACCTTGAGAGCTTTGCTCTTTCTCTACTCTATAATATACTGTAGCTTGTGTATAAAAAAAACCCCTCTGAAGAAAATTATCCTAGATAATCCATCTGTGATAAGTACTGCAAAAAGCAGTGATGATAAATATTGTTTGGAGAGGCAAAAATGCTGCATCAACTTTCAGAGGCACTATCATAGACTCATCTCAAATGGAGAACTGCAGGTGTGTTCTGAAAATTACTTTCCTTCCATATACCCAACATGCATGAATGTCCTCTATTAAGCTGTAGCCTGAGGAAGCTGGGAGTTCAAATGCAGAATTGTAGATCTTAGAAAGGGCCTGGTGCCACTTGTCACTTCTCTCCAGTGGATTTCAAGTTTATTCTCAAACATTTCACAATTCCCCCAAACTTTCACATACAAGGGAAAGATGATCAAGAGATTAGATTCTGTCCGTTGGCAACTACAATAAAAAAATGTGTCAATATAGGGGTGCTCAGTCGGTTAAGCGGCCGACTTTGGCTCAGGTCATGATCTTGCACTCCGTGAGTTCGAGCCCCGCGTCGGGCTCTGTGCTGACAGCTCAGAGCCTGGAACCTGTTTCAGATTCTGTGTCTCCCTCTCTCTGACCCTCCCCCGTTCATGCTCTGTCTCTGTCTCAAAAATAAATGCTAAAAAAAAAATGTGTCAATACAGCATATTATCTTTAGAAAACCAATTATGATCGCATTTCCCTATCTTTCATTGCAGGTAGAGAGAACTAAATTAGGAGTTCCCATTTGTGGGAAAATGCCAAATCCTTGTCACCAATTGTGGCACCAAGTAAAAGGGAGTCCATTCACAACTATAAGCAGTAATTTAAATTAAAAAAGTAGAAAGTTGATCTAGACAATTTAGGTCCTAAATTAAATTTTGGAAGCCTGATATTTTTAGTTTGAGTAATAATGCTGGTCTAATTTGCTAGAAAACTAGCAACATTCTTTTTCACCTTGAGCTGAGTGGGTAGACTCCACTATGATGTCTTGCTTTCTCCTTAACACACATCCAAAGTAATGCCTCGCCTGACTCAAAATGCATGTAGACACAACATGCTAGTTGGCACAAAGCTGGCAGGGGAGGAAGGCCCCCACCTTCCTGAAAAATCCATAGGAGCATGATTGGCAATCAGATATACATAATGTCAGTAGATTTTAAGACAGATATACATAAAGTTACACAAATGTTTCTACCTCTCCACCACTGAGTGAAACATGCTGCTCTTTGGAGAAAAAAATACATTCATTTTTTTCAAGTATATTTCAATATACAAAGATGCTCTAAGCTTTGTTTCACTACAAAGACAAAATGATTTCACATATGTCCAAGGGGAATTTCATTTTAACTTCCCTTTGGTGGGGGTTTCATGAAGTTCTGATTTAAAAAAATTCACTAAATATACATCTACTCTTTTGATCTGAAAGCATGAACTGTTTGTGTCCATTTTATATATATGTACATAGTCAATACCAACAACAGAAAAAACCAGTCTACATATGTACAATGGCTTAGGATTGGCGTACTCTAGTAAGACCAAGGTCCACCAGCTAGGACACGGGCGCAGCACCAGACTCAAGTGGTTCTGTCAGCTCTGGTGTCCAGCGCTGGGCCAGCAGCATACAGACTCTTCCTTTCCTCTGCTCTAAGAGCATGTTCTGCTGAGAGGGCACTTCTTCAGTTATGGCTTGTTTCCTGTCTTGGCTTTGTTGTTAGGGTTGCAGTTGAGGTCCCTCAGCAGAAATTCACAATTGGCGAGCGCATCGGTGGGCAGCAGCTTCCGGATCTGCTCCACTGTCTTTTGATAAGCCATTTTCTCTTGTTCCAGAGTCCGGATTAAAGACTTCATTTTGGTCTCTCTGGTCAAAAGGTTTTCCAGATTGGATTCCAAGGTCTGGATTTTAGCATGGGCTAACTGTTTGGGGGAAAGGAAAAACAATGCAAATTCTTCCAAATCAAAAATCTGAAGACTCTGGTTCCTCATCAGACCAGCATCCCGACCTTACATGTATTAACCAATCATATCATATTACTTAATGAATAAAATAGTATGTGAAACAAATACTTTGAAACCCTTCATGAAATGGATATTTTTCAATTGCTCTAAAATAAAACTGTAGTACCAACAAAATACATCTCATTTCACTGAATACACCAAAATGCAGTATTAAATCAGCATCCTACAGTGGCAGGGCCACTGGAGTGAGTGGGATCTGGATGAAGGAGAAAAAGGAGATTCCTGATGCTTCCTGGAGGTGCTAAACGAGGATTTTCACCCTCTGACTAGAAATATAGGGTTTTCTAAACACATACTTTGGATCCTATCAGTTTCAATTGGTGTCAGGGGTTCCCACATAACTTGGGAACCAAGACGTGATAATGATATTTGACTGTCAATGAGAAAGTCTGTGGAGCACCACCTAGGTGACTCAGTTGGTTGAGCATCCAGTTTCAGCTTAGGTAATCATCTCGTGGATCGTGAGTTCAAGCCCCATGTAGGGTTCTGTGCTGACAGCTTAGAGCCTGGAGCCTGCTTCAGATTCTGTGACTCACTCTCTCTCTGCCCCTCCCCTGCTCATGCTCTCTCTCTCTCTCTCTCTCCCCCTCTCAAAAATAAATAAACATTAAAAAAAGAAAAAAAGAAAAAGTCTGTAACCATTAATAAAAGTCATTATAGGGATGTCTGGGTGGCTCAGCCATTTAAGCATCTGACTCTGGATTTTGGCTCACATCATGATCTCACTGTACGGGATGGAGCCCTGCATCAGGCTCCATACTGACAGCACAGAGCCTGCTTGGGATTCTCTTTCTCCCTCTGCCCTTCCCCCACTCGCACATGTGCACTCTCTCAAAATAAATAAATAAACTTTTTTTTAAAAAGTCATTATAAAATGGGTCCAAACCCACTTTCCCTAATAAGGAAGTGCTCAATTAATCACCATTGAAGCATCGAGTAATAATATTTTCTTTTTTAAAGTAGACAATGTTGTCTCTTTCTTTGAATAGGCATAAAATTTTCTGTAGGCAGAGGCTAATGGAAGATGAAGTGAACGAAGTCAGTGTTCCTATTCTTGGAGCAATTACTCTAGAGACTCCTCATTTTTAAAAATTTTTAATGTTAATTTTGAGATAAAGAGAGACACACAGAGCAAGCAGAGGAAGGGCAGAAAGAGAGAGGAGGATACAGAATCTGAAGCAGGCTCCAGGCTCTGTGCTGTCAGCACAGAGTCCAACGTGGGGCTCGAACCCATGAACTACGAGATCATGACCTGAGCTGAAGTTGGATGCTTAACTGACTGCACCACCCAGACAGCCAAGAGATCCCTCATTTCTAAGGCTTTCTCTCCTAGTCATTCTTGTCAGGGGACTCACCATATAGAAACAGAGTTTTAGTGGTCTCTAGTTTGGGGACAGGTGTCATTCTGGAAAATTGGGGGGTAAACAGAAACCAAGGAGCCATGAGACGCTTAAGCTCCAACTCTGAACACATTTTCCCCCACCCCTCAGAAGTTCTCCTTCTAACCTCCCCTCCACCAATCACTCTCAAACCCTGCCCCTCAGGGCTTGGCTATACAGCACTTATCATACAAGTTACAGGTGCAGAATATTAGTTTATACTAACTTGCTTAATGCATTTGTAAACATACATTTATAAATACATATATAGTATTTTATATTCCCAAATAATTGTAAACTTGATGGCAGGGACTATGTGTTACATGTTTTCATTCAATTCTCTAAAATGCTTCCTTTCCTTTCCATTTCACTGAGTTTTACTCTAGACAATTTCCACTGCAAATCATTTCTACAAATGATTTCTAGCTGATCTCCACACCTTGTCTCCCCATTCAAATCTGTCCTCATCAAGGTTTCCACACTGATCTTTTGAAAGTACAGCTCAAAAACCCTGAGAGATTTCCTTCTCAGCAGGATTAAAACCATGCTCTTCTGTTTGACACTGAAAGTTATCTACAGTTCTGCCTCCATCACATTCATCTCATCTCTCCCAAACATAAACCTTAGACCCCAAGATTACTCTGCTGCTCTGCCCTGTCTTCCTCATTCATACCAACCCCCCCCCCATTCATTTCTCCCACCAATCCCTCAGGTCCAGCTCAAGCCCCAAGGCCTCCAGAGCTCTCTCAATTCCCCATATTCAACCCCTCCTCCCCTGAATGTAGCCAAATATGTGCAACACCCTATAGGTATTTAACCAGATTCTGCCTAGAATTGTCATTTAATATTTTGTGAGTGTAAAATTTCTCTCCCAAGTGATTTTGAAGTTTATATGGGCATCTGTAGCCCCCAGAACACTTGGACGCAGTCTGCCACACAGACCCTCTGTCAGCAATGGTTCACTCTATGTAACATCTCTGCCATTCCTTGTATATCGTTCCGTGCATGGAGGAGGCAGTCAAGTGCTTTTTTGATCAAATCTTTATATCCTTACCTGCAACTTTTCTAGGAGGTCCATGTTTTGTCTTTTCAGTTGGTTATTGGCCCTCTCCAGCTTTTCCAAAGGTTCACTATCCTCACAGGCGTATGAGGATTCCTGAAGCTCATCTTGCAGCACGTGGTATTCCACCTCATATGCATGTAACTGTTTAGAAATATCCATCTCAAAAACCTGCCATGAAAACACAATGGGTTCCTCTGGCTTTTAGTATGGATACCAAAATACAGTCTGTGTATCTGGGGTACTTCACATAGATTTCCAAGTGCTTACTAATGAAGAATAATATGGCATATCAAAAGGAATAAAAACAGATATGACTGTCTATATAATGACAAATGGATTATTTCTACACAACTGAAACATTCTCATAATGAGGCCAAGACGATAGAATAAGTTAATGTTTAAGGGTATTTTGCAACTAAAATATACATAATCCAGTTACTCTCCAAAAATGTAGCATACCAGATACAACATTAGTTACTTGGTAATTCTTACCTATGTGAGAGATAATCTTTGCTGATTCTTACCTCTGTTAGAGATAATCTATGCAAAATTGCATAGGGTATTTCTATAATAAAGAAACCAAAAATACTTCTAGTTACTTGTGAATGGGGTAGACAGATCTTACACTAAATGCCTTCATCCATTTGCTAATCCTTGTAGGCCTCTATGCATCTCATATTCTACCACACAGAGAATCTTCATAATTGCATTCCCTGAGCACTGCACAGAGCTGTAGGGTTTAATCGGGGCTGCCTCTGCTCTCCCATTATCGCCACCCCGCAGCAAGACAGTTTGCTTAGAAGTCAGTGGATGGGTAATGGCTCCTTAGTCTAAACTTGCAAGGGAAGGGAGGCAGCAGCTGCCATTTAAGCAATGGTGTCTACACTAACACTGTGGGGAGAAAAGAAACCACAACAAACCTGATTTATTTATCCTACCACGATCAGAGATACTCAAATATTAGAATTTAAATGGGTTGTCTAGACAACCTGGTCATCCCTCTCAAACAAGTATCAGTTTTTCCCTACCTAGTGGGAAATCATGGACACAAGGGACTGTTGCACAACCATTAAAAATGATAGCATGGATCTATATTTATTGGTATGGAAAAAGAGAGGTTGTAATTTGCCCAATGTGACAGAGCTAGTAGGTGGCAGGGCACAAGAACAAGATGTCAAACTCCCTTTCTTTTGCTCTAAACCCTTTTATTGGCCATCCCAAGTGCCTCTAGGAAAGTGGTAAACTTTATCAATACTCATAAAGCATTACTGCTTTATCTACAAATCAGAAGCTTGGTCATGCCATCTGAGTAACATCAATACACAACTACCACTTAACCTAGTCCCTGTGAAGAGCCAGGACTAGATACATGGTGTGCTGATTACTCTCCATTTGCTTCCCAGATCCAATTCTCTGCCCTCATCTATTCTGCTGGACCTGGGAGAAAGACCCTTGGGACCTGCATCTCCCTTTCACACCTCCTTTTCTGCTGGCTTCTGGTTGGGTATGGCCCAGGAGAGCAGCTGCAGGAAATCAGAAAGAGGAGGAGAGGCTGTATTTCTTCCTTGCTCCTTCCTCGCCTGGCTCACCAAAAGTACAAAAGCTCCAGAAACTCCTCCTGCATAGTTCCAGCACTCACTGGGCCTAAAAACACTATTAGATCCTTCCTCTGCCCCCTCAACGCCAGAATATCAACAGCTTCCCTCTGTCACTAGCTCCTGAGCACCTGGACAGCCACACTTGGTTCTCTTAACCCTGCCTAAACCTCTGTAAGTTGGTAGCTTTGTTTGAATCATTAAAGACCGTTTCCTGCAAGGGACCCTAATCAATACATGAAGTCTCATTTAAGCTTCGTAAAACCTCTCAGATCAGTATTGACCTATTTGAGAAGTAAGAATACTAGGGTTCAGAAGATTAGGGAGATGTGTACAAGCCCACCAACTAATAAAAAAGCTAGAGGCTGACGTAAATCCAATACTAATTCCAAAGCCTAGGCTCTTGCCACATGTACTCCTTATATATCTTACATTTTTTTTTTTTTTTTTTGAGAAAGAAAGGGGGTGAGGGGCTGAGGAAGAGGGAGAGAAAGAATCCCAAGCAGGCCCTAAGCCCAGTGCAGAGCCCTACATGGGGCTCGATCTCACGACTGCAAGATCATGACCTGAGCCAAAATCAAGAGTAGGATGCTCAACCGACTGAGCCACCCAGGCACCCCCATGTACTCCTTATATATTTAAGTAAGTCTCATTTTTATTTTATTTATTTATTTATTTACTTATTTATTTAGTCAGTCTTCCTAACTCTGTCAGCTCTGTCTTCAGTCTTACCATTGGTCTAAATTGAAATTCACCAAACACTTCTTATGTAGCACTGAACCACTTTTCCTGTGCATAGCCACACAGGCAGTTTCACAATGTAGAAACTTCACAATAATCTCACTTCCAAATAAAATAAATCTGATGAAATTAAAAAAAAATCTATCAAGCAAATCTAAATCTTTATACTAAAGCATTTTTAATATATATTTAGTAGAGAAACTGCTGAGTGATCTTATATCTTGCCTTTATCATTTTAATCATACCTGGGTAATAATTTTTTCCATTTCAGATGTATTCATATCAGGTAGCGTGGTCTTAAGAAACTCGACAATACTTTCAAAGTTCTCACATTCCATTATAAGTGTCTCCTGGCTGCTCAGCAGACTAAGCGCAACCTTAAATATAACTTCAGTTCCCTGAAGAAAAATAATATCTAAAAAAAAAGATACGATTTTCATGATCAAAATTATGCATCCACTATTGTAAAAAGTACACTCTTTGTGTTAATGGATTTTTGTGTTTCTTGTGGTGGTGTTGTTTTTAATGCAGTGGAATCACAAAATATTCTACAAAAGAATATGGTCAAAATCACCTAGATTAAAAAAATATGTATGACTGAAACCAACAAACAGATGTTTAACTATTCTTCTTACTTCTTTAGGAATGTCAGATAAGGCCAGAGAAAAAGGTTAATTATATGTCTCTTTGTCTACGTATTTATAATTTTTATTATTTATTTATTTATTTTTAAATGTTTGTTTATTTTTGAGAGAGAGACAGACAGAGCATGAGCAGGGAGGGGCGGAGAGAGAGGGAGACACAGAATCTGAAGCAGGCTCCAAGATGTCAGCACAGAGCCCAATGCGGGGCTCAAACCCACGGACTGTGAGATCATGACCTAAGCTGAAGTTGGATGCTTAACCAACTGAGCCACCCAGGTGCCCCTATGTATTTATAATTTTTAGTGGCAAATTCAGTGGAGACTAGGTAAACCTAAAGATGTTTATTCAACTGATACTTCAATTTTGTTTCCCAAGACTAATACAAAAACAAATCAGCATAACCAATTCGTACTACTTAAATTCTTATTACCATAATAAAAAAGTAAATGCACCATCCACATACAATTAAACCTATATCAGAACAGGAAATTAAAAAAAAAAAAAAACTTTAAAAGAAAAATCAAAAGTAATATATAACCTAAATCAGAAGTGAAAGAGAAAAAAAAAGAAAACCTACCCTAACTCTGAACTCTGCTTCCTAACAAATACAAACAGGCAATAGTTTTGAAAGTACCAGATATTTCTATATGAAAGGTTCAATCTTTGCCACTCTGGAATCAGTAATATGTAATGAGCAAGGGAGTCCTTAGAAAACAGGGAACTGTGACTTTGGCTCATGCATCTTTCCCTTTCCTGACTACCTCTATTCTCTACTAAATTCAAAGAAAAGGACTGAGCAGCTACTGCAGAGCTGACAGCATCAGTCATATTTTCATTGCAAAAAAAAAAAGACCTGGGGAGGTTTGTTTCTTGAGCTCTGATATCATATTCCCAAGGTAAGTCAAAGAGAGATGCTTTCAAACATTGTTTTATCATTTTGATTTGGTAAATTATTCTGAGAAGAAAAAATATATAGATCTTGAGAAGAATATATATATATATATATATATAATGAATGAGAGGATTTTAAAAGACCCAAAAATAGGAACCCAACCCCTACCCAAAAACTAAACTGGAGAGAAGCAATCAAGTATTTCAATAAAGAAGAGAAATTTGGTGAACATTTGATTCTGCACATCTTCATTTTTCTCTTTTGCTGCACTTTGTCCAAAGACCATATTACACTAATGCACTGTTTAACTTTTTAAACCACACCCCCAATAAGAAAGAAACTATATACTGTAATCTGGTGCATGTGTACATATTACACATATATCTTCAAAACTGAAGCTTATCCAAACATTTTCCTTACCATTTTATATACTCTGATATTTTTGTTGCATTCCATTTTCACTCATTTTTTTTTTCTAATACTGGTAATAATCTACAATTGGGCCAAATACAATTTGACAAAGAGCTCCAATTTAGCAAAGGCAAAGTTACAAATATCACCATGGATACAAGATAAGCAGAATGTAAAAACTGTAGGAGCTCTTTCTGGGGTCACAGAGGTCCTAAACATCTTTAAGAACAAACCTCTAATAAAGAGTTGTTTTTATTTATTTTTTATTTGTTTGCTTTTTAAATAATGGATTAGATAAACATAACCAAAGACTTTTGAATAGATTTAAGGGCCCCCAAAAGATGCATGAACCATGTCATACTCTCTTTTTATTCTTGGTGCCTAACAATGTGATGAAGCAGAAGGAACTCAGTAACTAGCCCCACGCCTTACCGGCCATGTTTAGTGCTGTTACCCTGAGCCACCCAGTCTTAGAGACTGATGCCAGCACTGCACTGGCATGGAAGGAGAGTCACTTAAGCAACAAAACAGGAATTTCAGTTACCTATTAACAAAATCAGACTGTCATTAGAAATCACACTGATATAGGTTACGTCCATTGACTCAACCAGAAAACATGTTTCTCTCTGTTTTGAATTAGTGTTGAAGGAGATAATGGGAAAGTAAAAACAAAAATAAAAACTGAGCTAAGAAGCATGTGTATAAAAAAATATGGAAAATGATATGTAGTAAGTCCTTAGTTTGGATTAAAAAAAAACTTCTTCACAGTTTACTCAAATACAGGATCCAATTCTTCTTTCCCTTTAATTTCAATTTCATTTAAGACCAATATGATTTCAAACTACTCTCAGAAAAGAGCCAGGGTGGGGCGCCTGGGTGGCGCAGTCGGTTAAGCGTCCGACTTCAGCCAGGTCACGATCTCGCGGTCCGTGAGTTCGAGCCCCGCGTCAGGCTCTGGGCTGATGGCTCAGAGCCTGGAGCCTGTTTCCAATTCTGTGTCTCCCTCTCTCTCTGCCCCTCCCCCATTCATGCTCTGTCTCTCTCTGTCCCAAAAATAAATAAATGTTGAAAAAAAAAATTAAAAAAAAAAAAAGAGCCAGGGAAATTTATTAAATTCCATTAGCAATTTGCTTTTCTGTATAACACACGATAAAACAATCAGGCACCACACTGGGGAGAGGGATATTCGTTGGATTAATAACATTGTACCATTTGATCATAGGCATCTCTTACCAAAAACTCTGGCTACAAATCCTAGTGGAAACTGAGAGGCAAACAATGTGAGGAACCAGGGGGCAGCATAAAGACTGGGGCTGATTTCATTTTCTTCAAGATGATTGTAGAGATCTCTGTGATAGTCATGAAGGAGCCTGGACAACTGGTACATTTGAATCTAAAGTTAATTTGGAGAAGAAAAATAAAATATTATGCATTTATCTGTGCATAAAATACACTAACTTTAATTTTATTTACCCCAATATTTAATAACAAAGTCACACATATTCAATACATGAAAGTAGTTAGTATTTTATTTTTATTATGTTAAAGTTGATATTAAAGTCCAAGTTCACTTAGCTGAGGTCATAAAGCAAGTCACTGAGAGTCCATCTGAGATGACTACACAGGTTTCTCTATCATATGTTTTTTGGTGTCACATACATACATGGAAATGGTTGTTTTTCCTCATGTAGGAAGGCACTGCTTTTGGAATTTAATCAGAATTGTCCTGGCTTAGGACTCTCATGGAAGGTCTATTTCAATTTCAGACCAATTCCAGAAAAGCCTCCATTCTAAAGACTCTACATTTAGTTCAGAAGCAAAGTTTGTCTCTGTTTGCTGGGCCCAGCAGCTGAGTTACGATGGGGCTCTGGCTTCGACCCCACCAGGCAACGAGTGCTGCCAGGATGCTGCCTGGCTTAGAATGTTATGGAGGCAGAAGTTTGGGACAGGATTTCTAATATCCAAGGTATTCCAGCAGCATATTTTTTATGAAAAGGGGGATTAAAGCCAAAAGTGCTCTAGTATTAAAAGAAGAAATTATTTCATTCGGTTACTGTTTTATTATTGGTATTTTTAAAAACATTATAAAGGCAGAATTAGAGCCTTTAAACTCATATGTCTGTGGTCGCTAAAGGTAAGGCAGTAGCAAATAATCAACAAATTTGTGAAGTGTTTACATTTTTATCCACACAGTAACATCCTGAGTAGTGGTTCCTTGATCAGTTATTTTCGTTTGACATTTTAGTGTGAAATGTGTATGCTATTTTATTAAGTCTAGCACAACTTCTTTCACTAGACAATATCATCAAAATGTTACCCTCAGGTAGTTAGCTTTATAAAAACGCATCAAAATAACCGATTATATTGTGAATTCAACAGTTGTTTCCAGAGCGCAAAACTAAAAATCAAAGTACTATATATAAATACGGAAAATTATTTGTTTGATCTTTATCAATAACACATATCTGTGGAAACTAAGGTCCCACACAAACTAAAAGGACAGAAAGAGCCACAGGAAGTCATAGCTATGAAACACAGAGCTTAGCTGCAGTCAAACATAAAGGTTTACAAGAATGCGATTATTATCTCAGTCATGTTGAAAAAAATCATAGATTTCCCTGAGGCCATTTATAATTTAGAAACTAGACATCCTATGTGCCATCAATAGAAGAATTAGTATTTTGGCAGCACAAAAATCAAAGAAGTCTAATTAGCAGGATAAAGAGAAAGCATACTGGCAAAAGCATTCTGTTCTTGTTCTGTTAGGATTGTGACACAGAAGCAATACTTCAACGTTATTTTTTTAAGAACCTTTTTCTTTTCTGCATCCTAAACCAGGAGATCGGAACATTTCTTCCATCAAGGTATATTTACATTAAATTTCTTCTGATAAAAGCAAATAAAAACATAATTCAATCTTCCTTTGAAGGAAACTTTAATAATAAAATGCCATCTGCTAAGAATAAGTAGTTCTACCATACAGATAACATGGCAACTCTTCCAATGGAAGATTTAGAGTCCGAGGAGGGAGACGTGGAGAGAGATGAGAAAGGTAGAGAAGATGGGGAGAGGGGAGAGCAAAGACGTCAGATAAAAGACACAATGCTTTGACACTCAACACAGAAAACTGCAGCCCCAGAACATAAGGAGACAAAGTTAAAAGAGACCTCAACTCCCTCATTTTATGGATAAGGGAACCCAGGCCAAGAACCTGGAGTGTCCACGCTCACACTGTGCAGGTAACCAGAAATCCTACCAAGTGATCCATGCCCACTGCTGTTTCCACTTCTGAAAGTTACATTGATTGGATAAAAAAACACTTTCTGGGGGCGCCTGGGTGGCGCAGTCGGTTGAGCGTCCGACTTCAGCCAGGTCACGATCTCGTGGTCCGTGAGTTCGAGCCCCGCGTCAGGCTCTGGGCTGATGGCTCAGAGCCTGGAGCCTGTTTCCGATTCTGTGTCTCCCTCTCTCTCTGCCCCTCCCCCGCTCATGCTCTGTCTCTCTCTGTCCCAAAAATAAATAAACGTTTAAAAAAAAAAAAAAAAAAAAAAAAAAAAAACACTTTCTGCTCCTGAAGGTGGAAAAGTGTTGTTGTACCTCACTTACAGAGCAAAAAGATCTATTCTCCTGGAATAAGGTCCCCAATCTTGCAGGTTCTACAAATGCTACCAAAGATTAAAACATCTTCATTGTCATAATTATGGACATAAAATATTTACTGGCAATTGCAAGTCATATAAATGTGTTAATCCAATTTACATGAATTCTTATGATACCAAACTGATGATTTTTTTAAATTGAAAACAACTGCATTTCTAAATTGAGAACTACATTTATTTATTTACTTACTCATTTATTTATTAGAAAGAGCCCAAGCGGGGAAGAAGGTCAGAGAGAGGGAGAGAGAAAGAGAGAAGAGGGAGAGAGAGAGAGAGAGAGGGACAGAGAGAGAGAGGGAGAGAGAGAATCCTAAGCAGGCTCCACACTCAGCACAGAGCCTGATGCTGGGCTTGTTCCCACGACCCTGGAATCATGACCTGAGTGGAAATCAGGTGGCAGAAGTTCAACTGACTGAGCCACCGAGGCACCCCCTGCATCTCTCTTTCCACTTAGGGACCTAAATCAAACACTGCTCACAGGTATTTCCCATTCTTTAATATTTTTAATATTGGCTACCCAAACCTATTTCTGGAAATCAGAGCTACTTAATTCGTTACAAGGGCACCAATGCTTACTATCCAGTATTAGATACTTTAGAAATAAAGTAAAAAATAAAACATTCCATTGTCGTTATTTGACTTGTGGCATGTTAACACACCTGTGAATAGTCATCAACTAGGAATCAAGTCACTATATTTATGGATCGTGATAAAGACCCTTTATATGAACTCACATCTGAAAACCCAATGTTAAGAGGGAAACCCTAGCTCCCTAGCAAAAATTTAATCTTAAAAAAGTAAAGAAGGGGTGCTTGGCACCTGGGTGGCTCAGTCGGTTAAGCCTCCGACTTCGGCTCAGGTCATGATTTTACAGCTTGTGGATTTGAGCCCCGCGTTGGGCTGTGTGCTGACAGCTCAGAGCCTGGAGCCTGCTTCAGATTCTGTGTCTCCCTCTCTCTCTGCCCCTCTCCTGTTCATACTGTCTCTCTCTCACTCAAAAATGAATAAATGATAAAAAAAAATTTTTTTAAGAAAATGAATCGCTTCCTCTCCATTGATCCTCTCAAGAAAATATCATTTACTGTAACATTCACAAGGTGAAAACTGAGTCCTTTTTTGCCTGTAGAATGGTAACTAAAATATTAAATGTAAAAACTGATCCTTAGGAACCAGGAAGAGAATATATTTTAAAAGCATTTTTAAAATATTTCACTTCTTATCTACAGCATGATATTATGACTAACAGATCTTGCCTACCTCATTTCAAAGGAGGAGAACTCTGACATTCCTCTCTTGAAAGTCTTCTTTTATATTTTTACTACTAAAAGCTTTAAATTGAAAGGTAGTGGCGGTTGGTGATATCATATCTATAGATAAAATTTAAACTGCTTGTTAGAAACCAATACACTAAGGAAAGGGGAATTTTAACTAGAAAGGAGAAATGTGTAGACAGGGAGTCCGAAATAGGTTGAAGACCGCAGTGGGAGTGAGTACCCCGCTTAAAAGGACTAAAACATCTTAATGGTGCTTCTTCAGTGCATGCTAAGAAAAGCGGACCGAAAACTACCACTGACTTTGGGCACCTTTTCCTCTAGAAGGACCTATCTGACATAAAGATAAAGGAGGAGAGACATGGTAAGTTCAAGAAGAACCATGACACAGATATGTGCTGCTGATGCACTCACAGTAAAAGAATAAGGACATATTTTTAGATTTAAAAAAAAAAAAGATTTGATTCTATTCAATTGACAGGTTGAGGAAAAGTGAATAAAGAAGACTTGATTCTTTCTCTATTTCCACTTGCAGACTTAGGGGAGAGAGACTTAAGTACCCACTACTTTTCTAGAACTGCTCATTTATTCACTTCAGGAACTTTATGGAAGAGTTTTTCTGCATATAGATGTCCTACTCTTACAGGTTTAGCAAAAGTACAAATCCCACATACTAAAATGTCAAAAGAAGTCTCTACGTTTATACTAATTCCAAGACAATGGGCCCAAATTTCTTTCAGTCTTTTCTAAAATTTGTTTTACTGTTTATTTATTTTTGAGAGAAAGAGAGAGAGGGAGAGTGCGAGTGGGGGAGGGGTAAAGAGAGAGACACACACAGAATCTGAAGCAGGCTCCAGGCTCCAAGATGTCAGCACAGAGCCCAACCTGGGGTTCAAACCCATGAATCACAAGATCATGGACTGAGCCGAAGTCAGACGCTTAACTGAGCCACCCAGGCATTCCCAAATTTCTTTACATCTTAACTGTAATGTAAAAGAGGGCTAATGCTACAATTTCTGGTAACAGCTCCCCATGTGCCTCACCTGCAGCGACATCATGTCAGGTCTGTACTGTTTGCGGAAGCCCTGGTCATACATGAGGAATTTCAGCATCTCAAAGGCTTGCTCTTCGCTCATGTGCAGAAGCAGGACTCCAGCCACAAAGCTGATCCCCTGACAGTAACCCACTTCTTTGTCCAGCAATGAGTAGGCTTTCAAGAGGTTAAAGAGTGAGAGCTGCCCTGCCCCAAGCTGTGCTGAAAAATAAGGGTGAGTAGGAAATGTCCTTCCTGCAGAGGAAGAGAAAATAAATATTTTTGAGATACCCTGAGCTTTGGAGATAAAAGTGAAATTGCAATGCAGTGATTTCCAGGAAATAAACATTCTTTTCTGAACCAGTGAGAGCTGTGTGGAATACCCATCTAACTAAAACTCTCCAGCAAGTCCTAGGTCCTACCTGCCAGACCACCACCCCATCTCTACACATACAAAAGTGAAGAAAACATTTGATGCTAAAATAGCACTTCTTTCTAGAAAACAACAATAACAAAATTCACAAACAAATCATGGACATGTCCAGGAGAGATCCCAGGAAAACAGAATACAAAATCTATTCTGGCTATAAATGAAGGCAAATTCCAAGTTCACATAAAGACTACCCTCCAAGTAAAATCAGAATTCTATCAAAGTTATCACATTATTTAAAAGGAAATCTTAGTAGTGCCTAAACAGAATTAGTCCTGCTTTTCCTGTATGTAATATGACACTGGAGGAGCTTTTTGAGGTCATTTTGTTTTACATTCAATCTATTGTTCAGGAAATACTTCTTTTTTTCAAATATCCTTTGCTCTCTGTTTCTTAAACCACCTCCATGAGCCATACAGACCTCTTTTCTTTTTTCAAAATAGCCAAAAAGCAAGTAAAGCAAAGGGCCAAGCTGATTTCAAATAAATTCCCCTCTAAAATTCACCTGTGAGGATAAAATTACCATAGAGATACCCAACAAGCAAACAAAATCAGTTCTGGATCACTGAAAAGCTGGTACTAAACACTGAAACCCACCCATCTTCATCACCAAGGCTGTAGACACTGGCATGGGACTTTTCTTATGCCCAAAAATGAAGGGGAGATCAGTTTCCTAGCAAAGTGACTACTCATGTCAGTGAGAACTTATAATGCCAGATTTTTAAATGTTTTCCACCACATATGCTTAAAAGCGATCTTGTTTCCCTCCTCCCCCCAGGAACTGGTAAGATTAATTTCTGCAGAGCAAGAGGAACATATGAGAAAATAACAAGAACACACTGAGGAAACACAGATGGCTACAAGTAGAGTTAAATAAACAGTTTTTTAATCATCATTTTACTTTATTACTTAAATTTTTTGCTGAAGAAAACTATAAGTGTACTCTCTACCGAAGACATTAATTCTAGCTTCATTTTTTTTCTGACCAGCCTTGCCTTACAATCTAATCGCATCATCTCCTTCTCTTTATTAGGATATCTTCATTAGCCCTAAATGAACCATCCCCATTTCTAGTCTGGTCATCAATTTCTCGTCACAGAACCACAGATCTGTGGGGATCCACAGGGATTGCCTAGTTCAAGGTCCTCATTCAAATGAAAGGACTGAGTCTCAGAAGCAAAATAATTTGCCTAAAACCACAGTTTAGTGGTAGAATCAGACAAGAACTGAAGTCTTTAGCTTCTCTGTAAAATTCCCCATTACAAAAAAATATTAAATCAAAAAATACTAACTGAGTTGGGTCCTTTCCCAACAAAAGCTGTTTATCATCCAAAAGGAACAGAGATCAAAACTAGGTTTTGGCCAGTGATTTTTATATGCCCTAAAATAAGGGAATCCCAAATATAAGGTAACCCTTTATTTTCCCAAATGGACTCAAGTAACATATCTGGCCACTTTAAATATACCACCTTTCAGGGATACAGATAAAAAAGTCAAATGCCAATGCACAATATTTAATCCAATTAATCAGACATTTTTAAATAATAAAATATATATTATAAAATGATAAATTAGAGAAAAACTATAGACAATGTAATTTTAAAAATCATACCTTTTTTTACTTTCCATTAGTTATTTGAAATACAGACTTTAAAAAGATAGCTTTATGACGCTATCACTGGAAATTATCCCCAGTCACAAGTAGCCATTCATATAATATTAGGACAGCTCATTTTTCTTTCATCCTATAGGGATGTATTCATGATTCCACAGCATAACCACTTATTGTGCTGCTTTTTAAAGTGATATTCAAAAGCCTGTTTAAATTTTAACCTAGTCTATCCTATTTTAAAACCAGTGTTGATTGAGAAAATAAATGCCTGACCCAAACAAAAGTCAGTTTTTCAAAATACAGGAATTGAAAGTCCCTGATAATATGACCTTTATAATGATTCAAATATAAGATAACACCCTTTTTCGGGGGCAAAGTCTGGGGATGAAAACTTCATTTTGTATTCAGGCATTTATGGTATTTTCAACCAGACATGAAGTCAACTTGCCCTCAAGAAAGGGGAAAGTCGGCAGCTCTGTATAATTCAATAGGTCCTCTTTAGCAACACCAAAACCAAAACAAAACACAAACTACCACAAAACCCCAAGCAAAACCCCCCAAGATATTCAGGAAAGGGACGTATCGTTTGCTTTTGTACAATAATCAATATGACAAACATACCCAAATCCACAAGAATGGCATGCTGCTGAGCAGTGAGCTGCTTTAAAAGTTCCTTATAGGAAACGTCAGGAGGCTGTTGTTTATTGGGCAATCTGTGCCTGAGACGGTATTGTAAAGCTAGGAACTGCCAAATTTCTCCTCGTCGACTTTTGGGAACACCTACGAAGATAAAAGGCAAGGTCTTGATCTCTGGAATGAAGTTGCTAAACCACTGATGAACTATGTAATGCCTGAAAACAGGCAGCTGTAAGGTCCTGTGTGCCACCCTCCCTCCCATCACACAGTATGATGTGCTGAGAGAGCATATTTTGATCCTGAAGCTGCTGATATCTTGCAAAAGAAAACCCTCAAGTATCAATAATAAAGGCAATGCTGGGGCGCCTGGGTGGCTCAGTCGGTTAAGCAGTTAAGCGGCTCAGGTCATGATCTCACGGTTCCTGGGTTTGAGCTCTACGTCGGGATCTGTGCTGACAGCTCAAAGCCCAGAGCCTGCTTCAGATTCTGTGTCCCTCTCTCTCTGCCCCTCCCAAGCTCGAGCTCTGTCCTTGTTTGTCTCTCAAAAATAAATAAATGTTAAAAAATAATAATAATGAAGGCAATGTTAACATCAGCCAACACTGATTGGGCACCTAATACAACATTCCATCAATGGTGCATTGCCACTCAGCATTGTACCTGTGCTCAGAAAACAACCAAATGAGGCAGGTGATTACTATTATCCCCACTTTCCAGATGGTGAAGCTGAGGAAGAAAGAAGCAAAGAACTTGCCCAAGTTCACACAGCTTGTAAGTGGAAGTTCAGGATTAGAACTCTCCAAGTCTGGCTTCAGAGGCCAAATTCTGAAACCATGAAATGTATCCCTGCCTATTCCCACCTTTCATTTGGTTTAAAGCTAGTAATAAATGCCAATACTTATAAATTCTAAGCATTTGACATTAATAAGTCTCTGTATAAGGCAAACCAAGAATATATGTTGCTACTTACACATCTGTAGGATGAATGAATGAATGATCACATGTAAAATGTCATTTGGGGGTAACTTTCATTAGCCCACTAAATGAATCTCTGATAATATGAGTGGGCTGTTTTATTATCCATCCAACAACAATTTTGCAAGAAGGCAATTCACTTCAGCTAAACAAGTCATCTGTTGAACATCTAAAACATAGCAAAGTATAGAGAATGGCACTGAGGATACTTCCTCCCTGGGAGATGAATAAATCCATTCTCAGGAATTAGTCTCATTCATTCATTCATCCATGTATTCATTCAGTAAATAACTTGTGCAAGATCCTTTTTAGGTGCTAGGTATGCAGTGGCGGGGTGAGAAAAACATTAAACAAATATATGCCTAAATACAAAATTATAATCATGATAAGCACCATTAAGGAAAAGAATCATGAGAAAAAATAATGAAGCAAAATGAATTGATTTTGGTGGAAGAGAGGGATTTCTGAGGAAATGGTATTTGAACTGAGATCAAAAAGATAATAGGATTTTCCAAGCTGGGAGTGCGGGCAGCAATCCCTTCAGGAAGGGAAACGTTTGAACGCCCTCAGAAAGGCAAGGAATGGGGTGAGAAAGGAAGAGGAGGAGGAGGGGTGAAAAGAAAAGGATGATGGGAAATAGGCAGCAGGTGGAGAGGTAAGGATGAGAGGTTAGGGAAAACTGGAACATTCCATGCAAGAAACAGCCTGGGACATATACTGGGACCCAGTGTAGTTCAACCTCTCTGGAACACATGATACAGGGAGGGAGGCAGCAGAACATGAGATCAGAGATGAAGGAGGCAGAGATTATGGTGGGCCCTGGGCAGAGTGCTCAGAGGTTCAAACTGTATCCTATATGAAATGGGAAGCTGAGCACCCCTAAAAATCTTTAAAACTCATACCAAAGAATAGTGTGATCAACAACCACACACATTCTATTACCCACTATTCTGTCTCACAAATAATGCAATCAATGAAAATGTTTAGGACTTCCATATCTTCAAGGGAAAAAAAAACAATAAATGTAGCATCTTACAAAATTAATCTCAACTTCATTTAAACTTAACTATGCAACAGTTTCACACATTAATCATAAGCTTTTAAAACAAGATTCATTAACAGATATCTTTGGATATTCTTGGATTTTTATTTTGCACTCAGCTTATATAGGTCATGAGATCCTCATTTTAACAGCTGGGTCACAGAAATGCACCTCAAATATTCACATGCTAAGCAGTTTTAATTTTAAATTTAAGATGTTTAACTATCAGCCATTTTATATGACAGAGTAGCAATGCAGTATAATGGCCAAATAAAAGCAATTTTTCCAAAATAAAGGAATATATACATGGAAGGAAAACTGATTGATGAATAAAAACATAAATCTGTTTACATGCACACATACATGTAGGTGAATATACATATACATATACATATAAACATTTCTGACTAAATGATGGAAATGAGTCTAGTTTGTAAGTCTGAATTATTTTTATGGATATGATCCAAGGTCTCTACCCATGCATTCACTCCTTTCTTGATAAACAACAAAGACAGCTGAGAACAGCTGGTTGAAGAAGACAGGAAAACCTATAGAAAAGGTGTCTGCTAACTCCTCAGGGACCATCTCTCTATTAGCACTGTTTTCTTCCCAACAAAGTCACTGACTGCAGTCAAAAGCAAATTACTTCCCTTTTTTTATAGGCAAAGCACAAGGACAAAATTATGCCTGAGCTACACAAATCAAAAAATCTCTAAAGATTTTCTCTAAAAAAGATGATTAACGATGATCCACCTGAAACTAATGTAACATTGTGTGTCAATATTACTCAAATGAAAAAGGCAATCCAGAATACCTTCTTTAAGACAAATATGAATGTCTTCCATATCGCTTCTGATTTTAGCTCTGCAGTTCAACAACTTCTTATCCCAGGTTAGTAAGACCTCCTTCTGACATACACCAACTTCTTCATAGTCCAGTTTAACTTTTCTGGACTGGAGTTCATCTCTGCTTGCTAAGAAAAACAAAAGAATTTATGTAAAACTGATGTGTTCCTAGAACACAGAATTTTAAACATTTTGTTGTATTTGTAAAATCATACCAAATGATTTTTAGGAATCAACCACTAACATGTAGTCACAAAGTAAACTTAAAAAAAGTGAGGATACATGAAAGGTTCCCAAACGGAGTCATATCACGTAAAAAAGTAACAGGAAGAACTTTCTAAGGAGGTTTTACTCTGTATCTTACAGATGGGAGCTCTACTAAGCATAAAAAACTTAGCATGTTCCCTAGGCTGTAAGTTTCAATTTTTTTTGACAAATGTGATAGCCTCAGATGTGACAACTTGCATCATTTTCAACACCAATGACATTTTATATATGACCTATATGAGAAAACAATACCTCGTGCTAACCTTGATTAGAGAAATACTGACCATGGTAACCCAATACATTTTTATAATTATTCCCAGAGTTACCAATACTTCTTTTAAAAATGTTAAGTCATGTGCCTCTGTGTTCATTTTTTTCTTAAAGAAAAAAATTCATTTTATTGAAATTAACACTACTTCTGTTTTTAAAAATAGTACAGAATTCTCTCTTGTTTGATGGTCTAAAATATAAGCCCAGAGCTCATTAAAGAAAGGCCTATAAAAGCAACTACTAACTTGATGTGTTCTTTATCTTGAATACTTGATTCCAAAAGAGTAAAGGAAGAAAAAACATTTAGCTATTTTTTTTTTCTCTTTCATTAGGATCACATTGAACAGGAGTCTCACAGATTAATGTGTACTCATTCAAGCCCACAGTGCTCAACCCCTTACCTTCTGCAACACAAATCTTTGTCATGCATCCAAAGTCCTCGACAGCACAAAAAACAACAGCAGAATGAGTATTACCCTTTACTTAGTGTGTTTGAAACCATTCCAAAGAATTTAAATATCTTATAATACGGTTATTCAAATAAAGAGTAAAAGTTTCTACTGAAAGTCCAGATATAACCAAACTTTCACTATGAAAATACTCCTGGATACCACTAGATGGCCTACCTCTCGGATACCACTAAACTCAGAGAGGAGCTTTGCTTCTCAATACTTGCTTTATATTTCTCTATGGTAATCAAATTTTTTTGAAGAAGTGGGTTCATTAAAGCTAATAATTAATATAACCCTATATGTTACTTTACTATTTTTTTATAATTAACAAAAGCATATTTCCTTTTTTCCCCCCTGCAACGTTCTCTAGATCTTTATTCATTTAAGAGAATAATCAAGAGCTATGTGCCAGCTTCAGGCCCTGAGGATAAAATGCTGATTAAGAACAGTCAACATCTGCCCTCACCTGGTTAACTAGGCAAAAAATAAAGAACCATCAATAAATAATTATCCATTGACTAGAATTTTAATAAGCTCAACTATTTTTTGTCTCTGTTACTTAAATACAGAAAAAAAAGAACTCATAAAGGTTTCTGACCATATCTGCTAAATGTCACCTCCTCTCTTACCCTGAATATGAATTGAATTTCCCTCAAAATCTATAATAGCCCGGGTGGGCATACCATTTATCACATCAAACTTTTAAAAGCTGTACCAATAACAATCAATTGGGTTTTTAATTTTAAAGAAAAAAAAAGATTTACTTCCTAGGATATTTAAAACTTTACGTACTTCCAGTCTGCCAAGAAAACAGCAATAAAGAAAATTACTGCCTTGCAAACTAAATATTGTTCAATTTAAAAACAGAATTGAGTATTAGGTGTAGTAAGAGGAATCTTAAGATAGGTGATGAGCATAGAAATGTGAATACCTGTTCTTAAAAAAGCATTTTGGAAGACAACACAATAAAAGCAAGCCAGAGAAAAACCTAAATTGTACATTTTCCTATAATCTTGTAAATCAAAGGACCCACTTAAGCTAAATCGTTCATTTTACACATGTGAAAAACAAGGCCCTTTTAGGTTAAGTGCACTGCCAAACATAGTAACATTAATACATTTTTTGAGTTTTGGTCCCGTCTGCACATCTCCTTATGTGTGGTTCATAAGGAGGTAAATAACATCATTCTTTCGAAGTCTGGGAAACACATTCTAAAACACTTATTCATAAACTAAGCAATAAAGCACCAGTAATACCACAGAAGCTATTGTAAATTATCCAATTATAAATTTAATGATTTGAATATGATTTTTTAAGTAGAAAGTATATAAAGCAATAACAAAAATTAGGAACTTTGATTTGATAACAGGTAATTAGATAGTTGAACTGGGTACAATACAAATAGAATTTATTTGAAATAGGCACATTTCCCTTATTATAAATGCAATTAGCCTAAAAGGTGAAAATCAATTTCAAAAAGAATTTTTGAAATATTTTTCATGTTTAAGTGTTTTTTTTTAAGTAATGCACAATAGTATTAGACTTTCAGTCACATCAAATACATGGATGCCACACTATGTACATTTTCTGTTACCCAAATACACTCTAAAGGTGTCTGATGTTTTAGCTATTAAACAAAAATGCAAATATTTTAAGCTGCACATTCCCACGTCATTGCAACCTCAGAAAATAAAATGAAACAATTATAATCAGTAAAATCCTAGTCAAAGTGCATTTATACTCCTTGACTGAGTGTGGGGAAGACGGAGGTGGTTTTAACCTAAAGCTTTCAATTATAGTATCATATCATTTAGCCCTGATTGAATGGCTAACCTTCAAGTTTCTGGTTTTCTTTCTCCATTCGAAGCAACAAGATTTGTTGATGTATTGCTTTTCTCCACAAACTCCTCAGTTCTTCTGACTTCTTTCTTTCTTCAGCCTTCTCCGGGTCATCATCTTCACCAGACATGAATATAACCAGGGGTTCCTCCTCCATGGTTGGAGCAAGAGGGGACAGTGGCAGCAGCTCGTTCCTGTCCAGTCCATCTGCAGAGAAGAAAACAGTGAGAGGCATTCCTAAGCAGTAACCCAGACTACGGAAGCTTTCTCTAGAATTGATGTTCTCTCATCCTATCTTCCACCTTTAAAGCTTTTCACAAGGCCACTTTCCCAGTAACTGCATTTCTGGAACTAACAGCTTAAGTAAATTCACTAAACTAAATTCCCCTGCCAGATTTCCCTCTCGAGTTGAAACGAAAGCACATGTAATTTCTCTACTTCTTCTTTCTGCACACAATGACCTATAAGATAGGTGCTCTAAGATGAACTGGCAATCCCCAGAGCCCAACACTTCTGCAATTTATCTTTGTACGTTCTCTGATTGTGCAAAACAAAAAGGTTACGTGAGTAGGTAATAGTGATCTCCTAAGGTCTCCATCTACCATAGACACAGTCAAGAGAAGAGCAGCTGAACAACGTGGGGCCTGTCTTGGCTCAGCACCTCTGCTCACTCCTGCAACATTCTCTTACCCAATTCCTGGAGCTCGCTCTCTCCCTCTGTTCCAGGCCATTCTTTGCACCTTTGCCAATTAGTTTCCTATTAACAAACATGACTATGTCTCTTAAAATATTTCAACAGTTGCTTATGCCCCAAAGCACAAAGTCCAAACTACTGCAAACAGCATATGGACAGCTTCAGACTCCTGCCTCGTGTAAACTTCCCAACCTGTGTTTCCATCTCCCATCCTCTGCTCCTGTCATGCTGAATTTCTCCCCTAACCTGCAAAGTTCTCTCCGATGATGTCAGAGTTTTGCTAGTTTCACTTCCTGAAACATGCTTCTCCCAGCAAGGAGTTTAAATGTAAATATCCAACATTCCTGTGAAGCTTTCTCTGGCCACCCTAGGCAGAGTTAATTTTTTCTCTAGTAATGTCAGTTTCTTATTTCTTTTTCTTTACTAACTGACCTCTGCCCTTACCCTTATTATTTATTTCCTTAATAAATAATTTTTAAAAATTTTACTCAAGCGCTCCTTTTCTAACTTCTTGAATTAAATACTTAGGTATATTTGAGTTTTGTCTTTCCTGATTTTAAAAATGCCCTTTAAATACAACTCAATGTTGGGGCGCCTGGGCGGCGCAGTCGGTTAAGCGTCCGACTTCAGCCAGGTCACGATCTCGCGGTCCGTGAGTTCGAGTCCCGCGTCAGGCTCTGGGCTGATGGCTCAGGGCCTGGAGCCTGTTTCCGAGTCTGTGTCTCCCTCTCTCTCTGCCCCTCCCCCGTTCATGCTTTGTCTCTCTCTGTCCCAAAAATAAATAAACGTTGAAAAAAAAAAAATTAAATACAACTCAATGTTGATGTGTAGGGCTCTGAACATATTTTCTTCCTTCTAGTTTCTAGTAGTTTTCAGTTTCCAAACACATGAAACATTTTAGTTGTCTTCTAATTTTTGATTCCTTTTTTTTTTTTTTTGCACTGTAATCAGAGGTTATGTGATTGTTTCATTAAAATAATGCCTTTGTGGCCAAGTACACAATTTTTTGGAATGTTCCATGTGCACTAAAAATGAATGAACTTTGCCTATGGGGGAGCAAGTTTCTGTATAAATATTAGATCAAGCTTGTTAAATTATATTTCTCAAATATTAACTATATATACCCTCCTTGTATTTAACTTTTAGAGAAAAATATGTTAAAATCTCCCATGAGAGCTACTGATGTATTTCTTCCCAACATTCTGTGAACTTCTATTTTCTAACTTTCAAGGCTATATAATTACGCATGTTGGCATAATTGATCATCATTTTTGTATCTCTGTTTATTGTTATAATTTACTTTGCCCCTTTGGATGTCTTTGCTTTAATTTCTAACAGGTCTCATATCTTTTGGTTGATATTTGTCTACTGTCTCTGTATCCATTTCTTAATCATTCAACATTTTGATGTCACTTTGCTTTATGAGTGACCCTTGTAAAGGAGTAGGTTACTTTTCTAATAATAAAAAAAAAAAAAAATGTATGCTTTTCTAGCAGTATCTTAGTGCCCAGTTTGGGGAGTTCACTCATTCACTCATCAAGCATTTACTGAATGTCTACTACGTTCTAACGATAGCTGAGAAGTTCACCACCATGTCATATATGGAAACAGAAGTTATTTCTCCACTGAAATCACTCAAATCTCTTTGTACCCAAAGCACTGCATTCCATTCCCTAGTTTATGATACCGGTAAGGAGTAATTCTTTAGTGTGTACCACACAGACCCTGCTGCATTGCTGAGGGAGATTTGTTCATGGGAGAAGCAACCCTGAGGAAAATGCGCTGCCTCCAGGAGATTCGACGAGGGGTGACGGGAGTTCCTCCAGTGTTTAGGGACTCATTGCTGCAAGTAGACGAGGTCCTTTTTCTCCCCTCTCCATCACTGTGGAAAGCAAATAAATAAGTAACTTGTAAGGAGAAATGCACAGCACGGTTCTTCACAACCACACGGTAGCACAAGCCATTCACAAGTCCTGCCATGGGCAAGCACAAGCCTCAGGCAACAAAGAGCGATGCATCACTAGGCACACTGGTCATCGAGGCCACAGCAGCCTGGGGAAAATGCAATCCAAGCCCCAGGCATGAGGAGCTCACCTGTTTCTACTCATTCCATAGTAGCCAACCATTTCAAGTCCTAACCCAAGGAAAAGATGAACGTATACAGAGGCACAGAGGCTGCTTAAGTAAGGAACTCGTGCTTTACTAAAAAATTAAAAAGTGCATTCTAAACAATGTAAATGTTCTGTAAGAGGCTCAAAAAAGAGCTTTCCTTATACTCTTACAGAATAGACTGATAAAGATAGCTTCTTATTGCCTGTGACTGTTGAGATCTGTCTACAAGTTGCTAGCCACCAATATGTGGATCATGGCAGAAAGTAACCCGAATAAAGGAGGAATGCTTAACCTTGGGATTATTATTAAGTAATATATTAAGAAAAGAACTGTGATCAATAAGACTGGCTAGGTTAAGATAAAAAATATTCAACATCTCTCTATAGGAGGATTTCACAGAGACTGTAATATACTGGTATGCACTATGACTTTCCGAAGAGTGAAGTAATGTATAGATATGCCCTAATCTATTTCAATCATTTGACCCCATAATCACCTTCCCCAATTTTGGAGGCAGGGAGGGGGCTTTGAGCATGTGACAGCTTTATACATTAGTGCTTTGTGAAACGAACATGTGGAAATGTGGATCTGCTCTAAAACTTTCATTTCCTAGGAAAGAACATTCTAAGTCATGCTAGGCCTATCTGCAATAAAAGGTCATCCTGACTCAAACTCACTTCTGAGACGAATCACTTTAGCAGCTGGAATGCCATGCAATAATTGCTACAGTTAGTGGTGGTAACAGTACATTTCAAAGTCTCTGGGCTTTCCGGAAAAAATGATGAAGGTAACAGTATTTATGGCTAGTGACACCAACAAGTGAAGATCCAGGACTTTTAATGGAGTCCAAAAGAGTCAATGCTGAAGTCAGAAAGGAAATGTAGCTAGAAAATCCACCACCTGCCTCAGTGGTACTGAGGCCACCAAGAAGAGAGCAATTCAGCACCTGCTTATCATATTTTTATTTATGTACCCATGGTCATCAGGTAATTCCATTATCTCTAATCTTGACCTATCTTCCTGGAATGATTACTTCTAGATTAGCTAAACTAAGGTTAAGAAAAAGACATGCCTTCAGCTGTTGCACAGTTGGCAGTGTGATAGATTAGGATACTTCAGAAAGCAACAACACATATATCTCAATACAGTCAAACCCCCATTGTTAGATAAAATTACAACCCTAATATGTGTCCATGGTTCAAAACTCCTTGTAAAACTGAATAAATATGTTCACCTTTACTTCAGCTTTGGAAAGTATTAACTCAAGTATTTTCCCTTTTAGAAACTGTGATTCAAACGTTCTGCAAATAATAGTTATATCCTGATAAACACTCTTGAAGTACTCTGTATCTTCACTTTGGTAACACTATCTCACGAGCAGTTATTTGCTAAATGCCCAGTTAATGGACTTCTGGTATAATAACTGGCAAATAATAGCAAACATTAACTCAGAAGGTTAAATGAAATGGACAAAAAAATCATATGGGCTAGGCTAACATGTCAGGAATAACTAAAAGAACACCTTTTTAAAACCTATGTTGGTAGCATGACTTTTACGTCCTTTTTGGCAAAAAGCTCTAACAGGTCTGTTTCCCGAAAGTACAGACCGGGCTGTTGATGGCACTGGTAGGTACTGACAACAGCAGCAGTGTTAGTAAACAGCGTAAGGCATTGTTTTTCCGAGTAAGTGCTGTTCCTGTCCTGCATAAAGGCGTCAAAATTTATAATTTAAGCCTAGAAAACTAAGTGAAAGACTTCTGTAAAGTATCTATTTCAATGCCTCATGGGGTAAGTGTTCAATAATTCCTCTTGACTATTTAGCAGCTCTGACAAACAAAACTACAATAAACTAACCCGAAGGATTCTGAAACTTTTATATTTTGATGGTGGAATTAAACTATCTTTTAAAAATCAGACTTGGGGCACACAGGTGGCTCAGTCAGTTAGGCATCCAACTTCAACTCAGGTCATGAACTCACAGTCCGTGGGTTCAAGCCCTGCGGTGGGCTGACAGTACAGAGCCTGCTTCAGATTCTGTGTCTCCCTCTCTCTCTGCCCCCCCCCCCCCCGCCGCTCATGCTCTGTCTCTGTCCCTCTCTCTCAAAAATAAATAAACATTAAAATTTTTTTTTAATCAAGTTCCAATTCACCGTCAATGACATGTTGAATGTCTAGATAGTACTAAAAATAAAACTTAAAGTACTCCTAACAATTTCATTATTGTGTCTAAAATATGTGCTTTTGGGAGATTATAAAACAGGTCCATAAAGTACCTTGACATTAGCCTGCTACATATTTGAAAGTTTCATAACTTCTAAAATTTTATATCCTATAATCTAAATAAATTGCCAAGTGACACATTTTCTTCCTATGTCTGGAATTGAATGGTCAGAATTGATAAGCCAAAAATTAGCAGTCAGAATATAAGATAATAATATACTGAAAAGCACTTACATAACAGACCACTGACCCCTTTATCTTGGTACTAAAAAAGGACATCCTAAAAAAGCTGGTTGGTGGCTGAGATAAGGAAAAGGCTGCTGCTTCATTTCATTCCAGAAGCCATGTACCCAGAAGTCTGAGTCCAGATAAGGACTCCAGCAGTCAGTGCATATATGCAACTTCCCACAGCTTGCCCTTTGATTTACCTACCATTGGTCAGCAATCTGACATTCCTACGGTGGTAACTGCATTGTCCTAATATTTAGCATTTTACAAGTAGGAACTCATTTTATCCTCACAGCAACCTTATGGGGTAGGTGTTATTTCTATTTCCACTTTCAGTGAGAAAACTTTCTGTGGGTTGAAAAAGTCTAAGCAACTTGCCCACAGTTCCACAGATAATAAATGGAGAAGCCAGAATTCAAATCCAGGTGGTCCAGGATCCCAACAAAGGCACTACACTTCATCATGCCAATGTAAATCCTCTCCTCCTTAGTCCAGACAAAGCACTACTGGACCATAAAACTAAACCTGTCAGTATCCCCAGTGCCATGTGTATTTCTGGTGGAAAAAAAAAAAAAGTCAGTCTCTAACTGGCTTTAAGTCTTATGGTCAGTATTCCTCTTTCCATTTTTTAATGGCACAAAGTCATTTATTTCAGCAGAGAAATAACTTCAAAGTACTAAGTGTTCACTTATGTACATGTCTCACTTCTTCTTTGCTTTTGAAAGAACTCCATTCCAAAATGCAACTATTTCTTTAAATGGAAGGATCAAAAACAAAACACATTAATATGGTGGACTACACATATATTGTATTATCTTTACATTTTTTTTAATGATAAAACAAATCAGAACGATTTCCTTATTTTTCCATGGTCTTTTCCCTCCTTCTTTTGCATTTTGGAATGTCAACACGTATATTATAAAATTGTTTCCAAAGTGACACATTCAGGAAAAGTGTTTTGTGCCAGAATTACCTCTATTGAAAATTTTATGAAATTAAAAAACGAATGACTAGGAAGGAAATACAACGTGGTGAATTCCCAATTATTTTTATATTGGTGTATTCTATATATATTTCCTATTACTAGTCACCAGTTAATTAAGAACCACAATCCAAAAGGCACAAATGAGAGCTTTATAAGAAGAGAAAAGGGGCGCCTGGGTGGCGCAGTCGGTTAAGCGTCCAACTTCAGCCAGGTCACGATCTCACGGTCCGTGAGTTCGAGCCCCGCGTCAGGTTCTGGGCTGATGGCTCAGAGCCTGGAGCCTGTTTCCGATTCTGTGTCTCCCTCTCTCTCTGCCCCTCCCCCGTTCATGCTCTGTCTCTCTCTGTCCCAAAAATAAATAAACGTTGAAAAAAAAAATTAAAAAAAAAAAAAAGAGAAAATATTCTATCATATTCTGTAGGCTGGGAGGCACTTCCAAGTCCTTCTGGACACAGCATCAAATCCAAGGCTATGGATATGATATGAATGCTCCCACAAAGCTCCAAGATAACTTTTTAATACATCTTTTGGCCAAGCAGTTAGAACCTTTACCACCCTGACTTTTTAAATTAACATTATACTTCTTGTGTTAACACAGAATTTTTAATGGATACCTGTCTACTTTAGTAACAATTAATTTGCTGGATATTGTAAAAAATGGAGGTGTTTTAGTGATCACTCATAGGGACTCAATGTTAAGGTTGCAGTCATGTTTTATTCCACCTCCCCCCACCCCCACCACCAGGCAGCATAGATACATTGTTCACAAAGCTAATATGTGGAATTTAAGAAACAACAAAAGTGAATACAGGGTAAGGGGCAGGGCGGGGGGGGGGGGGGGGGGGGAGAGGAGAGAGGGAAACAAACCACAGGAGACTCTTCTATAGAGAACAAATTGAGGGTTGATGGAGGGAGGTAGTTGGGTGATGAGTATTAAGGAGGGCACTTGTGATGAGCACTGGGTGTTGTATATAAATGCTGAATCACTGAATTATACTCCTGAAACCAATATTGCAGTGTATGTTAACAAAATAAAACTAAAAAACAAAAACAAAAAAAACCCCAAAAGGTGTTTTTCTGCTTAGCATCAAACTGCCCCTCATCCTCCAGCCCCTGGGCACCCATCTAAAACGAGTAGCATCATAAAGGCCAAATAAATGACTAATACTGATTAAAGCTATATCTAAATCACAATGTTTTACAATTCAAGATAAAAACAAGACTTGATTAATGTGATATAGCACCTATTTCACAGAAATCTGAAAAAGTGTTCTCTTTGTAAATGCCTCAGGAAAGACTCGTGGAACAACATAGTGATGAAACTTAAGCTTTTCCCACAGGATCCAAAGTATAATTTACACATAACTGCATCAGGTACACTAATAGTTTATGTAAGTCCTGACTTTCAACTAGGTACGATCCTATCATTCTTTGGAAAATCTTTACTAATTAAATAAAACTGATATTGAACTATTCTAGTGGAAAGCAATATATAGCATGTGAGCTATGAGTCGGAGATAGATTAATCAGTGGAACAATGTGTAAAAGAAAAAGAAAGAATGAGAAAAACAAGGAGTTTTATTTCCTAAGCTCTACTTTGAATATACATTTTTAAAAGATTAAGTTCTTTACACTGGAATTTAAAGTATCTCTGGGTGGCTAGCTTATTTGCTTACTCACATCCCTAAAACCTAAGATTAAGGAAATAATACTAAACAGGATATAAAACATCCCTAGGGCTCAATCTAACCATACGTAAAATAAGGAAAGTCCAGGCCAAATGATCTCTAAGGTAATAAACAGACCTGTTTTTATGCCTGTAGAACCTAGAAGGACACACAGTAAAACTAACACTTCCATTAGGGTTTTAAAAGTAGGTAAGAGTCTTACACCCAACCATTAAAAAGTGTCAATCAATTACAAGTCTCAAACAAAAAGTCATTTTTTATCTTATCAATGTGTCCAAAATGATTTCCTTTTTCCTCCTTTCTTTTCTCCTTTTTTTTCTAGTCCAATCTTTAACACTGTGTCTTCACTGTAGCTAGAAAGAAATCCAAATGTTAGTGGCTCCAAACAGAAAGATGGGCATGTCTGTTTTTCACAGGATTCCTGATACAAACTAAGTATAGAACCTAAAACAAAGCCAAGAATAATTATTTCCAGTTGAGTTGTACAGCAATAATTTTGGATGTTTACCACAAAAAGCACGCGAGTTGAGAGGAAGAGGTATCACTACAGATGTGGTCAGACTTCCATAATAAGGAAGTAGGTGTGTTCCTGTGTCCAGACCAGTGGGAGGTTTGACAGGCCTCAGCAGTGTCTCAAAGTAACCAACTTATCAAGAATTAAGGTGAATAGAAACAGATTAACAATCCTCTTTGGGTGAAAACTAGATTAAATTTTATGACCTTGTTTCTTTTAGGATGCTCATTTCTGCATCTTCTTGAAATAAACTCCTTATATGTACATACATACCTCCAAATGAGCAAATTCATGTCTATTAATTCAAAATTAAAATCAGGCTTTGCTTGAAGGCCATGGCACAGTACTAAGGAATTGTCAGCACGGAATAGAGTAGAAACAGGATTTCTGTTTGCAATCAACATTTTATATGATTATTTGTGATCTTTGATTACACCAGGCATCACATTTTCCCTACGACAGAACCCCATAGCACCAGAATGTTGGCATGCATTCAGGAGACAGCCAAAACTGTTTTTTAACTGACAGTGATATTCAGGTGGAAGAATTTATGAATTTTTATAAGAACATATTTAGACCTCTAATCACCTTGATTCTGAAGCAGTGTCCTGTCTAGTCCAACAGGAAAAGAAGGAATGACATTAGCATACAGAGAGAGATATATGACCAAAATCAGGATTTTAGAATAAAAAGGCATTTCCATTAGTCATCAATAAAGCATAAAGTTATTTCAATAATGAATTGTGAATGATAATACTATTTTTATCAGTGAACACAAGAGAACTATGTGGAACCAAAATTATACTACAAAGTACTTCAGCAAAAATCTTATTTTCTCACTGAAAAGTCTTATAAGTGAATAGAAGTAATGACTATCATTTTACTTTTGACCAATTAACTTCAATATAAATGTTTTCTTGGTTAAAGGCTTCAATGCTGAGAAAAAATTATAAGGAGTGACAAAGATGCCTATTGATAGAAAGGATGTATCATATTTGATAAATATTATATAAATGTACTATATCATCACAGTTATGGTTCAGCTACTAAACAATGAAATGACATTAAATTTTTAAAAATTAATTCAAGGCAAAACAAAACATATGCTTATTCCCTTTATCATTTCAAGGCTGTGCAGATAAACCTACTAATCAATAAACCATATTAAAAATATCTTGATTCCTTTTTCTCAGCCTACTTAAAAACAGTAACCTGACATGTTTTTAATAATTCAGAATAGAGGTCCTAGAGAAGGATGCCTAATCTGAGTTTCAAATTTTCAATTTAATAGCCTTTTTAAGAAGTAGTATATATTAGCCTATATGCTAACATACTCTGTACCTTATTTGACTGTGCATATTTAGAGATTCACTCTATACAGCTAATAAGATGCGAGGTACTCAAGTGAAAAGAAAATTGTAATTCATAGTATTCTGAACCTCATTCCTCTCAATATTCTGAATAGTTCCAGATATTACGGTAATTGTGTGTGCTTCATGTTCTCTCTGAAAGGTGTGATGAGAAATGTAGATTCAGAAATCACTGAATTAAAACCATGCTCTTGAATATCCTCATTCTTAGGAAATACATATTAAAGTATGCAGAGTATTAATGTATGAATGGAAGTAACCTATTTACAAATGACTTAGAATAAAGAAATATATACTCATATATGCACGTGTGTGTGTACACATATACATATAATATGTGAATAAACAGAAGGAATGATAAAGAAAATGTGGAAATTTTAAAAAATTGATGAATCTGGATAAAAGGTTTTCAGGAGTTCTCCATATTATTTTTCCAAATTTTCTTTAACTCTGAAATTATTTCAAAATACAAATTGAAAAAAAAAACCCTGTCCCAGATTGTAACTAGTAATTTATGTCTAAGTGACTTACTAGTTGAAATAAACCTATTAATAGTGAATTTTGTCCAACAATTTTACTACTGTGTACATAGTCCTCAGTAATGGACAGATATGCTAATATCCAGGACAACTAATAATATCCAGGACAGCACTCTTTTAATGACCCCAAACTAGAAACAACCCACATATTAAGTGGAATACTACACAGCAATAAAAAATAAATGAACTGAACTACACATAAAATGGGGATGAATCTCATAAAGTAATGTGCAATGAAAGAAGCCAGCGTAAAAGAACGTATGCTGTACCATTCCATTTATATAGAGTTCAAAACCAGGCAAATATGAACAATGGTATGAGTGATCAGGGGGAAGGGAAGTGATTGGGTGGGAAGAGAAGAACCGTGAGAGTACTGATAGCATTCCATTTATTGAGAGGTGGTGACATGGGAGCATTCACTCCGTGACAATCCACTGAGCTGTTTGCTCAGGGCTGGGGTACTTGCCTTTTTTTTTTTTTTTTTTAAGTTTATTTATTTTGAGAGAGCGAAAGAGAACGACAGAGAAAGAGAGAGTGCACACACGAGTCGGGGAGGGGCGGAGAGAGAGAATGCCAAGCAGGCTCTGAGCTGACACAGAACAAAGCCTGACTCGGGGCTCAAACTCACTAATTGTGAGATCATGACCTGAGCTGAAATCAGGAGTCAGACACTTAACTGACTGGGCCACCCAGGCAGCCCTGATTGCTATACTTTTCTGTAAAAATAAAAATTTTAAGTCTCTTTTTGGCCTGCTGGGTCTATGCTGGTCAAATTACCAAAAAACAAACAAACAAAAAAAACTGTACAGGAAGTACAGAAAAAAGTACAAGAAAGTGTTCTCTGATTTTTTCGCTATTCTTAGAGCCAAGAAAATATTACAAAGTACAGAAAACGGGATTATTTTTAATGATCCTACAAATTTAAAAGTTCTCCATATGTTTAAATATATCACTTCAAGTAAGATAGCTACAAAAAGTGAAAATTTTCAATGCAAAACTAAATACACTTACCCTCTGACTTTAATATCCTTCTTTAGAATGAGATACAGGGGACTAGGAAGCTTTGAGCAAGAATAATGCACACACTTAAGCAAAACGACTGAAGACAGATATGTAACACACTACAATATAAATAATCTAAAAAAAAAAAAAAAGCCACTGTTTTGGCGTTCTGCATTCTGTTCACAGCTAACCTTTGACCTTCTCAATGATTTTTCCTAATTGTCACTTTTGGGCAGGGTTCTGTTTCCAGAAGAAAACTAGGATTGCCCAGATGCTCACTTTAACTAACATAACAATAAGAAACTGCCAGTATGTTTCATTCAAAATGCTGTACTCTTATTAATAGGTAGTACTATAGACATAAGGCAAACTGATATTTTTATATGTGTACATTCTTGGTTCTCTCAATTCATGGCATATTCCATATATACTACACTGTTTTTTGTAGCTAATTTCTTTTCAATCCTCTCCCATAAGGTTGTCCCTGAAAAATCCCTTATTTACTTTTTTATATTTATTTTTTAAGTAATCTCTACCCCCAAAGTGGGACTCAAACTCCCAACCCCAAGATTTAAGAGTTGAATGCTCTACCAAGTGAGTCAGCCAAGTGCCCCCTCGAAAAGCCCTTTAAAATCAGTTCTTCATTCATTTTCTTCACTAGAAACTCAATGTATGAACATGACTTTGTACTAATTCAGAGGAAGTTCAGATTCAAAATTTTTTAAATCCAATATTAATTATCTTTCTTAGAGTGAAGATAATTGGCACACATAGACAAAAGATACTCAGAGATCATTCAAAAATTAGTCTAATTTAACCAGTTGCTGAAGGTTACCTAGTTAAATGCTAACTTTTGGGATTTCCTTAGTCTAAAAGAAATGGGGCCAAAAAGAAAATCTTAGTGACACACAGGCTGGTTACAACAGGTATTCCTCTCCTTGACTGCAAGAATTGTCAAATATCAAATGACTAGGAACAACCCAAGTCTATCAGCAAGACAGTGGATAAACTGTAGTGTATTAAATGGAATACTATACAGCAAAAAAAAAAAAAAAAAAAAGAATGAGTCAAGCAAGCTACACCAAAGACTGGAATGAATATCACAAACTTCTAAGCCAGCAACAATCCCTTTAGAAGAATCCCCAAGCTAACGCAACACTTTTCAAAGGCTATCGATATCCCACTAGTAATTTGAATAATCAGTAAGATGTCATAATTTTAAATTTTTTAAAAAGGCAATTCCCCAAAAATCACTACATCTAATTTTGTGTACTTAAAAGCACAAAGATTTTAAAAGCTATACATTTTCAATACTGAGAACAAAACAAAATCAGATAACTAACTACAAGACTCAAGAAATCCTTCATGCTATCTGAAAGAGTTGACATCAACATGATCCTGTACCCATTATGTATTTTACACTGAGTTTTAGAGAAGTAAATCTATGTCATAGAAAAATCAAAGAAATGCCTAGGAAATATTCTATATACTTAAAAACTAAAGATATATTTATCTATCACGTTAGTACAGTTGGCTTATGGATTCCGTATCATATGTCCAAAGAGGCTAAGAAGAAAAAGCACAATCGGAGGAGATTTGCTTAGTATGTATTAGCACCAGGTCTTGTTGCAAACAGTACAAAGCTTAGACTCTGGAGCGTACAGCAAAGAAATACACAGTACAAAAAGATATAATTCAAAAAGATGATCGTGTTATTAAAGGCTTTGAAACACTGGTTTTAAAAGTTTTCTTGATAAAATTTATTGGAATTGAAGCCACTATATTAGAAATGGATTAGAACAAGCACAACATATGGATGCATAAATGTCACTCCAAAATTAATGAGCCACTTTTTAGTAACATATCAGCATATCACTGCAGAAAATTTTGCTTTGCAAACAGAGGACACTGATCTCACCTGATTTCATTTTCATACTGTGGGGACAGTCTACCTGAATTCTGGTAAAAGCTTTTCAGGAAAGAGGGGGCAGTGAAGGAAGGGGCAGAGAAGGAAGTGTGAAGACTTGGAAGACTGGAGGAAGAATTACTCTCCTTGGGCATGCGCCGAACTGATGGAAGAATGCTGAGTACAGAAAACACAGCAAATTTGTCTTAATTTATATTTTGGCAAAATCTTCATTCACTATGAAAAAGCATATAAACAGGTTCTTGCTATTAATTCAATCTTGCCTTTCAAAGCTCAGGGCTGGATCTTCTATGGAAAAAAGGAAACATGCAGTTGTCTGTTGAGATGACCATGACCTTGCTCACTCCTCACAAACTGAATTCCTCACCTGTGCAGCATGTCCAACCATACGTGTTTATCTCTAAAACATTCTTAACAGTTTTAGGACAAACAGAGTTTATTTTTATGTGCAAAAGATACTTCAAGGGAAAAAAAAGTAGGAAAGCAGAAATAATTACAGGAAACAAGTTCCTGTAAATGATTATCAGTAGTTCAAAGACTTAACTATTTTAAGTCTAAAATAATCTTTTAAATTCTTGATAATTTTTCCCGGAAAAAAGAGACTCCGTGCCTTGTGTAAATATAAATGAAGCAGTCATTTTTTAAAAAATCTTGATATACACATGAATTGTAAATCTTTTTTAGAAAAGAAAATCTGAGAAAAATTAACTCTATTACTCTACTTTATTTTCATATATCCTAAGTATCTACCTTACTTTTAAGTATCAAATCAGTCAAAAAACAACACTGAAGATAAAACAGTATCCTTAAACTTAATGCTGATAACTCTGATAACAACTAATATAAAAATTCCTTTTACTTAGAGTTCTGGGTTGTTGTTTTGTTTTTCCCCAACTGGGATCACTATCAGACTCTGTTTCCTATATCAGACTCACAGGCAAACTAGAGAAACAAAATTAATTCTAGGATTTAAATTCTGACATGTGCTACACAGGAAGATGTGAAAGCACTCTACAATTCTGAGTTTACCTCCTTTATTATATATTACCAAATGCCAAACAGTTTTGTTGAATTATTTTTTAAATACCATATAAGATAATTTCTAATGGACACTCCTATCAATTATTATATATGTATTCTTCTTTACAGATATCACTTTATTCTAGATAAAATTTTTAATAACTTTCATTTTTGGCTTTAATTTATTATAAAGTGTAGCCAAATTTTATGTCATGTAGGAAGATAGCTTAGGTGATTTTTTTAACCCTTGTATTTTATTATAGGCTAACAGGAAGTTCTACTTCTATGTACATTATTTTCAAATTTGCTGATTATGTTTCAGTAGAGTGGTCCTCAAGAAAACACTGAGTAAAATGTGTTGTCACCAAGTTTTTCAGACAAAATAAGTGTGTAATATCTTGTATTCTCCATTTTTCTGGGAAAAAAAAAAACAAAAACAAAAAACTGTTTCTGTCCAAAATGCTTTAACTCTTCTCTTGGAGTGTACCTTAAATCCTGCCTTGTTTCTTTTAGTAACTGAAGTTTTTTACAATTCAATTTATTTTTCTGGTCTTTCTAAAAGCGAACTGTTGGCAGCATGAAGTCACAACAAATCTTAACTGCACAGTGACCGTAACAGGTGACAGGAGAATTTCATTTCACTTTCCAGAAAGAGTGTTGGACTCACCTGCACTGTTCGCTGGAGCTCTGCCTCAGAAGAGGGGAGCGAACACCGTGAGCTCTCCCATCCTGTAAATTCAGCTTTCTCTTTGTGCTCGAAGGTGGGTGGCTGAACGTGTGTGCCCGTCTTCGAAACTGTGGGGAGTCAGAATCCTCTTCAGGGAATGTCTGCCAAGCTGAGGACAGTGGGGAGGCTGGTGGTGTCCCTGGTGGAGAGTCTCCCGGGGAATAGTCCTGCAAAGCAAGCAGAAGTGAGGTCTTTCTTTCCTACATGGATCATGGCAGACCTGCTTCAACACACAGCTCAAAAGTGACAGGGAGCCTCTTCTTCCTCCTGAGTCATGACAAAACTTTTTTTTTTTTCACTCAATCCATGCTGAAGGCTAATCAGTATCACCACAACCCATTTCTTCAGATAAGCAGCTGTAACACAGCGTCCGTCAAGATAGGCAGAAAGAGAAAGGAATGATAAGAAAAAGTATTCTTTCTCCTAACACTTTGTGGTAAAATGCTATAGCTGCTGTACTTTTCTCATTGTTGCCAGAAAGATGAAAAGGGATCATGACCAAAAAAGGGTGGAGTCTGGATTTACATATCTACTGATTTCCGTGACATATCGCCTGCATGCTTCCTGTACTGTCAAAACAATATCGTGATGCCTGAGTATCCAAGTTTCATAGCAAAGCCTTCAGGAAAATAAAATAAAGCCTGTTCAGTATCTTCATTCACTGTGGATATTTCTATCCAATGACAAGTTCCCTGAGGTAAAATTTTTTTAAAAACATGAAAAACAGGAAATGAATGAAAAGTGAGCTATGCCGGAATGCCTCTCCTATTGCATGGGTGGACATCATAAATCTTTCAATTTAGACAGGTATGCTGTTTATACTTTCCAAAACAGGCACCACTGTAGAAATGTTTAGCTTGATAAACATGGGTTAGGGTTAAGACATTCATAGTGAAACCAAATCCCCACTTCTATCAACACAAAGTTCAGTAAAAATATTTTAATATTTTCCATTTAAAATAGGTTGCATATACCTTGGGTGACATATTGCCTGATACCTACTGAGAACTATCTAGGAGATAACAAGGAACCTAATGTTACAGTTAAAAAAAAAATGGGGGGAGCAGTAACATGACAGAACAAAAGATAAAAAGATCACCATACAAGTGCAATAATTAGATGACTTATTTTTCTGTGGCTTTGGATCAAAAGTTGCTCAAATACTGTGTTCCCAAGCGTACCATCTCCAAAACAGCAAAGAGCCTGACAGAGCACCGTTAGCCTGGAATAGGTGTTCTGTGCTAACATGAGAAAGCTGCAGTGGAAGAGAGCAATGTAATAATATCCATAACCTTCTTACTTTAAATAACAGTATTTTTCACTTATTTTAACATTAATCTAATATTTTAAATTTAATTGTAACAATAACATTTGTTAAAGTCACAAACGACTCATCACAAAACAACTAAGCAATACTGCCATATCAGCGCTGGTTTTTGCCAAGTTGCAATCAGCAGTAAAAACAGGAGCTCAGACGAGATACCTTCTCTGAAGCAAGACTGTTGGACCGTTCAAAGCTATCCATACTTCCAAGCCGGCCTCTCATTCTGTTAGCTCCCTGAGTGAAGAGAATAAAATTCAGTTGTTCATGCAGTTTGAATTTTTACTTTAAAAACCATAAAAGGCGGTTGCTTCTTTATACTAGCATTAAACTGATCCTTTTGTGTTTCGCTCAGATTCATTGGCAGTATTAACAGCCTTGCCTGCACAGTAAACAGAACTTATACACAACCTATTTGCACTGCTTCTAAATCAGTCATTGGATAACTAGATACTCTGATCAAGGTTTTTAAAGTTACTCTGGTTACAAGGTTAAACATTCTTCATCCATAAGATCAGGAAAACCCCATAAGATCAGAGACAGCCCCATTCACTTTATGTCTCATACAGATAAACATAACCGTGGAAGGCAGAACACAACAAACCACGACAGTTATAAAGAAAAAGGTAAAAAAAAAAAAAAAAAAAAAAAAAAAAAAAAGGGGTGGTGTTGCGCCTAGGTGGCTCAATCGGTTAAACATCTGACTTCTACTCAGGTCATGATCCCATGGTTTGTGAGTTCAAGCCCCACATCGGGCTCTCTGCTGTCAGCATGGAGCCTGCTTCACATCCTCTTGTCTCCCTCTCTTTCTGCCCGTCCCCCCTCCCTAGCTCTCTCTTTCAAAAGTAAACATTAAAAAAAAAGTTTCAAAACATCCAACCTCCACAACACCTAGATTACAAACAACATAGTTCACATTATAGGATTATAATAAACAAGTTTTTAAAAACTCCATTGGAGGGCTGCCTGGTGGCTCAGTTGGCTAACTGTCCAACTCTTGATTTCAGCTCGGGTCATGATCTCACGGTTCATGGGTTCAAACCCCGCATCGGACTCTGCACTAACTGTGTGAGGCCTGCTTGGGATTCTCTCTCCCTCTTTCTCTTAAAAAAATGAGCTAAGGAATGCAAATTACAAACAACTGCGTCATAAAATGTATAGATTCAGCTTCATTCATTCTACCATATGAAAACTACGTCAATAAAACATTTCTCTCTAGAAATGCTAGACTATCCATCAGTCTGCTTCAAGACGGGTGAACTGGTTTTTGTGGGGTTTCTTTGTTTTTTGTTTTTGTTTTGTTTTCTTGTAGTTGTTTGGTATGGATTTCATAGATGATCTAAGAAAGAGGAACTGAAGAGATCATCTCATCTATTACATATTCTACTGTGATTACAACTACTATCTTGTACAATCTGTTTTTCATGTAGTCAACAAGTGCCTCAGCAGTTACTAGTTTATTATGAAAGTCAACAACAGAACTCAGTATGGCCAAACATCACATAATCCATCAACTGCCATTTTTTTTTTTTCTTTCTCTTTGAGCTACCCATTATAGAAACCTCTGCCTTTTTACCTTACTCTGGACAGGTTGCAATTTAGACTTGCCAGTATTTTCCTTTACTATCAACCTAGACATTTCTTTTAATACTACCCTATGTTGAAATGTGTCTGTAATCTTATGTCTTCCTCTTTTTTACTTCCTCATTTTGGTGGAGTGCATACTCCAGGTGCCTTCTGAGAAAGGGAGACTGGGGTATTTTCTCGTTCTGTAACTCCTACCACTCGGCATTTGGATCTTCAGACTGATCCTTTTTTCACCTTGTCCTCCTATTCTCCATTTCCAAGAAACAGAGTTTCTTGGAAAAGTTTTCCAACTCTAGCTTCCCAGACTTGTGTTGAATTTTTCTTTGGATGTCTACTACCAGAAAGTTTTAACAGTGCTTTCTTGTTCACCCAACTGGCTGCTGATTCAATTGTTCACTCAGGTGACTCTTGTTCTCTCTCAACTGACTCGTTTATATGTATGGTATCCTACACCTGGTTTCATAGAAACAATACTTATTCTTATCTACGTATATCAATTATAGTTTTCTATTTCTGTTGGCACCTAAATAACAATCATATCAACAGTAAAATTGATGGCCACATAAAATATCAATGAGTACCTATCACCTTCTATATACTATGTTGAGCATTTTATAGCGCATTATCTCATTTAATCCTCACAGAGTCTCCAAGATGGATATAGTTACTTAGCTCAACTTCACAGTTAAGGAGACTGAAATTCTGATTATGTTGCCAAAGTTTACACTGCTAGTTCAAGGACTGGGCAGCAATTTGAACCCAAGAATTTCAACTTAGCAGTGGAACTCTTGAGCTCATATTCACTGTTATCTCCTGTAAACAGAACTTGGTGAAAAGTGGAATTGCTAATAAAACTAAGCAGCCTACACTGGTAATTTTTCAAATGTCCTGCAAAGAACCTGATCAAGGTTCTTTCAGTTCTTCAGTTCTATGCCTAACAACAGACACTTCCAGTAATAAACTATATTTGTGGCGGATCAATGGTTTGGTTCATGTGCGTGGCCAAGAGGAAACTATTGTGAGGACCAGGTTGTTTTTCCCATTATTTTTTAGCTGCTACTTCCAGGCCAACCTCCCTGCTTATCTTAAACAGGTTATTTGGTCACAATAAGGAGACTGGTCAGACAGGTATCAAGTCATTTCCATTATTAGAAAAGCACTTAAATCACACATTTTAGTCATAGCAGTGTTTTATCCATGTGTTTTGTGTGTGTGTGTGTGCGGACACAAAGAAAAACAAATTTACTTTAAAATTATACTCTAGGGGCACGTGGGTGGCTCTGCTGGTTAAGTATCAAGCTCGTGATTCCGACTCAGGTCATGATCTCACGGTTCATGAGTTTGAGCCCTGTGTCAGGCTCTGTGCTGACAGTGCAGATCTTACCTGGGATTCTCTGTCTCTCTCTCCCCCTCTCTGCCCCTCCTCTGTTTGTACGCACACACTTGCCCCCTATCGCTCTCTTTCTATCTCAAAAATAAATAATTTTAAAATAAATAAATAAATAAAATTATGCTCTATCATGGTCATTAATTCACACATTTCAACAAGGAAGGACAATGGATAGTACTCTGAGGGAAGCATAAAATGAGACCTCTTTTCCAATGATGCATACTTTATATTGATAAATGTTCCTCTTTTGGAAATATTTATCTATACATAAACACATTAGTGAATATTTCCCTTCTATAAAACTTCAACTAATGAAAAAGCAACAAATACCCAGAATACAGGACTCTGTCTTTTCACCTCTGAGCAGACAGCTTTTCCAGTTTAACTGTCTGATGATTTGGTAATACATGTGGCACGCCTCTTCCTCTGGACCCACTTTTTAATTGTTAATGAGCTGAGCTTCTGAGCATTTTAAAAACATATCCTATTTCATAAACAGCTATAGTTAGTTAAATCAACTGTCTTCACATTTAAAAATGGCAGCAATTATGAGCCAAAATCTGTGGCTGGAGTGCCAATTTTCTACCATATAACTCAGAATGAAAATGATACACTGATCAGTTTTAGAGGTACACAAAACCCCTTTTCTGAGTAACCTTTAACACACCATGGATAGCTGCCAACCTTCCCCTTAAGTCCATTCTGCTGCACATGGTGCAAGCAAGATCTTGTTGGGTCACATAATTTATGGCACTTGGCAGCACTGTGGGGCACAAAAGCTACACCATCCTCCTCGACCAAAATAGATGGGCTGTGTGTGCCCTTGCCGACAGAGTTGTTGCAGCCACTCAAGGCTATGTATGTGGCACTTCAAAGTCAGCCGTGCAAGTGCTGTGCAGAACGCCAAAGTACTAAATGGGGATGAGGAGAGTAATACTCTAAGCACCCTCGGATCATTCCAAAAATGACAAGGGTTTCAGAGCTTCCCACTGTCTGGACCATCTACTATCTACACTGTGATACTTTCCCAACATAGCGACATTTCATCCTCGTACTGATGTGAGATAGGCACAGTATCAGGATGCCCATTTCACAAATGGGGAAACTGGCTTAGAAGAAAATGATTTGTCTGGGATCATACATATAAAACCTACTAGGGCCAGGTCTTGAATTCAGGTCCCCAGACCACCTACTTAAATGGCCTTTCTACTAAAATTCTCACTAAATACAATGGGAGATAGGAGAAGGAGGGCGGGGAGGTGGGGAGGGGGGCAGGAGGGAGTGAGAAAAGGAAGGAGAGAGAAAGAAGGAACACAAGTAACTTATAAATACTGGGGAAGAAAAAGATAGGACAATTTTATGAAATGGTGCCTTAACACACTTCTGATTAATCTTGTAGAATACTCTTTTCCTACATTGTGTCTTCTGCTGATAATAGGGTTGGTAGCTGATCACTTTAATTAAGAGATATATCTATAAAGTATTTTGAGTTCAGGCAAAGAAGAAAGAACAAGAACACCCTACATCAGAAGGTACTATGTCCTAATGCTCCCCTGCACTTCACTTTCCTGACCCTAATACTTGTGACGACAACAGGTTGGTAATTTTGTAGACCGTCCCTCAATTTGGGTTTGTTGATTCTACCTCATGATTAGATTCAGGTACTGCTCCTTTGGCAGGAATACCACAGAAGTTCTGTACTCTCTGTATCAAGTCGCGCAAGATTTCAATTTGTCTCATTGCTGATGACGTTCCCTTGGGTCACTTGACTGAGGTGGTGTCTGCCAGTCTTCTCCACTGCGAAGTTACTACTTTCCTCTTTGTTATTAAAAAGTATTAATTAAATCCAGTAAATATCCTGATCATGATCAACTTCCAAGGTATTCATTTATGTTTCCTATCAGAGTGGGCTCGTCGTTTCCTACTTCATGCAACAGGTTACAATCCTTTGCTATCATTTATTTTGACGTTTATATTGCCTCAGATGTCAAGTGTGGGAGCCCTTCAAGGCCTTTTTAAAACTTTTTTAAAAATGTGTTTATTTATTTTTGAGAGAGAGCTAACAGGGGAGGGGCAGAGAAGGGGAGAGAGAGAATCCCAAGCAGGATCCACACTGTTGGCGCAGACCATGATGTGGGGCTCAAACCCACGGTACCATGAGATCATAAACTGAACTGAAATCAGGTCAGACGCTTAACCGACTGAGCCATTCAGATGCCCCTCAAGGTTTTTATGACATACCACCATCTTTCTTTGAGCATTCCCTTATTATCTAAAATACCAACATGCTCTGTTTATCATCTACTTCCTTTTGAAGTCCTGGAATCAGCCATTTCTCCCAGGATCCCAGTTCCCTCTTGTAGAATGATACACAGAAACCAAACCTTGGGTGCTTGGTGTCACCCAAGCAGGCTTAATTTATTCTCTGTTATTTGCAGAAAAGCTGTTCCCAGCTCCTATCAGTGGACAGAGCCAGGGACCACATACAGATTTACACACACACACACACACACACACACACACACACACGTGTTAACACATATACACGCATTACATATTATACATAAAACTCTATTATTCAAAAATATGTAGATAGATAACCAGGATTCCATACTGTTACCTCTGAGTTGAATCCAACAACATGGGATTTATTCTAATTTCTTCCCTTTTCATATTTGTAATTTCCTTTTACTAAATCCTTAATACGTTTACATATTTGACCAGTCCCTTGTGTGTTAAAATCTCCACAACTGACACCTCACAGACACTCTCCTCATCCTACTCAGGTTCCAACACCCCATATCAGGGCTGCCACGCCCACCCACAGAGGCCATCTCCACCCTGCTCAGACTCTAACTCCTCATAGCAGCACCTTGAATGCCTTCTCCCCTCCACTCACTCTCACTCTGACATCCTGCACTGGGCCATCCCTATGCAGGACTGGCCTCCTCATCGGCTAAGGCTCAGACTTCCTGAACCAGGTTACCCTCTTAAGTGGACACACTCCTCACCACACTCTGGTTTTCACAGGTTGCATTGGGCCACCCCACACACAGCACCCCACAGGCTCTATCTCTCTGCTCTGAGCCACTGTAACTCTCCCACCCTCCAGCCCTAACACCTCTACCTTGTCTGATCTCATCTGACAGTTTTGGACTGAACCATTCAGGAAGAGAATAATGGAGGGGAAGAGAAATCACTTTGATTTTAAAATAAAATATACAAATTTATTAAATGGAATATGTAGATTTCTATTAATTTACACTGTTTTCAGCATTTCCTGTCAGCTCCTAATAATAGCAAAATGAAGTATTTTGAGTTCCTATATCTATATCTATCTATCTATCTATATATATATGTATATATATATATATATATTTCTACTACTAAATCTCTTGCTCAAACTTAGATATTAGAAGCACCAGAATAAATCATGAGATTACTGTAAATAATTTAACTATATTAAAGCGATCTTTGTGGTTTATTTTTTTGAAAGGAAATATTCTGTGAGACAGTTGAGAATGAAGTAAAGCAGTTAGTAAACACAGACATCAATATCTAATTAAGAGTCTCTGTTTAATCTTACCCTTGAGAAGATATTTTCCAGGGAGCTAGTTAAAGATCTCTTAGCTTTATTTTTCAGAATGTCAAGTTTGAACCTTCCACTGCTTGTTGCATTTTCCGGGATGGTACTATTTGAAATTGTCTATAGAAAGAAAAACAGATAAATTTTAGTTTGGAAACATTCAGGGTTAAATGAGCCTTTAAATACAGGCTTGACTAAGCCATTAAAAACCGTAAGAATTCTTCTGCAGTTCTATTAAGGAGTAATAATTTAGGTCCCACACTGTGAGCATACAGATTATAAGGACAGGGGGTTACTTTTTAATATTGCAAGTAATAAAAAAACACAGAAGATCTCTCGTTTATGCCTTTCCTTTCTGCTAATATATTCCTGCTGCATTTAACAAAAATTTAAACTTGACACATCAATTTTTACTGCCATTTTGACTAACAACTATAACCATCCCTCTTCAAGCCACATATTTTATACCCAAATTATGAAGGAAAACATAGAAAAAAAGTTTCAAAGAACAAAGCATCTAGTGAAACTGAATTCTGCTGATGCCTCTGTTAAAATCCCATTTTCATTTGTGAGTGGGTCATTTCTTTCAGATCAACAAATACTCATAGATACTACAAACTGTACGAGAATCTACAATATGTCCACTATATTAGATTCTCTATTTTATCCTAGTGCACTAAAAAGCTACTATGGTTCCTAGTGGTAGAAAATTTCCAAGAAAGAAACTTTATTATTTGTTTGAGAAAGAAATATATTCACATTAAACAGCAACACAAAACAACATGTATCAAATCTGGAAGTGTGAAGACTGGTTGTGGGTCTCAGGAATCAAAAGATTGGTTGTGGGTCTCAGTGGTCAGGAATAAAAAGATAGGCAAGATTCATACAGGCAGAAAAAAAGGGGATGAAGATGGTCCTGGAACTAGGGATGACAGCAAAATCCTAAAGACCAATGTCCATGGGGCAGTGAGACAGTGCAGGTGTTTGGTTAAAACAAAAGAAAGTAGTGGAAGGTTAACTTGGAAAAGTGAGGCTGGATATGAAACCTTGAATGGGAGGAATCACGGATCAGATTTTATAAGCAGAGGGGCATCACAAAGTAATGTCTGGGGGAAAGATTTATTGGAAAGCAATATTCAAAAATCATGGGAAGGACAGGGAAATCAGAGAATGAAAGACCAGACAGGAAAATTCAGCACAGTCATTAGAATTGGCTCCATGGGGTTAAGAAGTTACTGATTAAAAAAATATATATATGATCCCCCTCAAGAAAGGAAGGAAAGCCATGGCTATGGATGTGAGCTGGACTGGGCTGCGTGTATGTAAAGGATTAGGAGGGCATTCTTGTCAGGCTTTCAGGCAAAGAACATGACTAAAATAGAGAAATTGTAATGGTGCTTAGCACGATGCTTGACACCGTAGATGCTCAGTAAATACCAGGTAAATAAATGGAAAGAAGAAAGGAAGGGTGGGGGGAAGAGAGAAAGTGAGGGAGAACTTACTAAAATCCCAAGACTTTATGTTTCTTGACCTTCCTATATCACTGGAATGGCTGATCTTCTAACTTGAACTTTTCTCCTACCTTGGTCACCCACCATGGCAAATCTCATTCATTCTCTTTCTGTCTTTTTCACTGGCACCATTTTAATTCCCTCATTGCCTGACATGCAGGTGTCCCTCGGTACCTCCCCCTTCGATTTCAAGTCTATGCCAGAGCCCAATGTCTCCCATATTTACACCATGAACTCAAATTCCTCTGTGGGCACCAAATCCATTTTTCTACTTAAATTTCAAACACATTTCTAAAATTGAACTCTTATTTCTTATTTCCATCCCTTTCCCCACTCTTGTTTTCTTTCTACATGTCCTAGACTAGTTTCATACAGTTCCCCAAAATCTGCAACTGTGTGGCCTCTACTAGCAATCCCCTTTCCCTTCCTTGACACATGTTCCCAGTCACCAAGTCCTAATGATCACGCCTCCTAAATGGTTCTTGCCTCATTCCCTTTCCCATATCTCCAGTAGTGCTCTAGCTCAGCTTCTCTCCAAGACAAAATAAATTCTTTTTTTTTAAGTTCACTTATTTATTTTGAGAAAGAGAGAGAGAGAGAGAGAGAGAGAGAGAGAGAGAGAGAGACCATGCACAAAAGTGGGGGAGGGGCAGAGAGAAGGAGAGACAGACTCCCAAGCAGGCTCCGCATCATCCACGAAGAGCCTGATGCAGGGCTCGAACTCACAAACTACGAGCTCATGACCCAAGCTGAGATCAAGAGTTGGACACTTAATTGACTGTGCCACACAGGCACCCCCAAAATAAATTCTTAAAGACAGAATTACTCAATCTATTTTTGTATAGGTATTATCCCTCTCTGGTATATACTTATATCATTGTCCCAATCCTGCCGTATATCTCCATATTTTACTTTATTTGATTACATGTCAGTTTCTCCTCCTCAGCAGTTAGATGGCAGATAAGAGCTGTCATTATTCAACCCCATTGCCTAGTACCTAGTACGCAACTTGCTAACAGTTTGTGCAATAACTAAATGAGTTACTTCTCGCATATTCTATTATCAAATTCTCCGGATTTGAGAATGTGACTTCAGTCCTAACACTGTCAACCTCCTCACCCATCAACCTGTCCCACAAATCAACCATCACTATAACAGCAGAATTATCTCTTTAAATTACAAACCTGATCTCACACTCTTACTTGAAACCTTTCAATGACAAAGTCAGGCTGAGCACTTAAGGCTCTTCATCATCTCACTGCTGCCTATCCTTCTAGCCATTATTTCCCCATCAATCCCCAGGTACATCCTAAAAATCCATTAAGTATGTTGAAGGCCTGCATGAAGTATGTCGTGCTCACAGCTACCGCAAAACTTTGTGCTCAATGTCCCTTCCTTTAGAAACACTCCCTCGAATTTTTCAATGAACAAACCATCTCCCCTAAAACTTCAGCCTCCCCCAAATTTCTTCTTCTTGAATTATTTAATTCTTCCCTCTTTCCTTACTCTCCATTCTGGCTCTAAAGCAAAAACATAGCTATTTTTGAGCTCACTGCACTTCTTTTAAAAAGCCACTTTGTTACCTCTATTCTATGTGTCCATTTATCTGTCTGCATTCCCCTTTCCAATATTTGAGCGCTTTCCTGGAAGATTCATTCATCTCTTTTTTTGTTCACCATTATCACACAGCTTAGCTCATAGAAGGTTCTCTCGAAGAGACTATTCAATGCATACAATTCAGGAATCACTAATAAAGTGATATGTGATTTGTTCTGAATAGAGTGAAATACAGACTAATCTGAATTAGTGTTACTAAGTAAATATGTCATCGTCTCCCTACATGCGTTGTTGGTGTCTTGCTTTATTTACATGCAGCTGGAAACACATTCTCCACCACATGCACAAAAATACCATCTCTTCCTTTGCAGCTAAAAGGGATGTTTCCAAAATACTACTGCTTCTTTGCGTATTTGCTATGTACCCTTCAAGCCTGTGTAAACTTTTAACGAAATAAAATGTTCATATGAATTTGAAATAAAATGGGTTAATATAACTAAAACTGCATGTTCATTCTAAATCATGAACACTTACTATTACTGTCTTTATAACAATAATCCTTTTTTTCACATTTTAAAACTCATCATTATTTTATCTCAATGTTAAAACCTCCCATAAATAGCTGAAAAATGAATCTGATGGGACTTTAGCCCTAATGATGAGAACACAAAGAAAAGAAACTCCTTTCACATCTTCTGTGATACTTTGAGTAAATACATAAACAAAACAAAAGCAGGTCCAGGAAAAGAAAACATCTCACCGATGGGCCTTCTCCAATGTGAATGTGTGTCCTCTGCTTGGCCTCACACAGCTGCCTCAAATGTAAAATCACAAGTTCATTCTCTTCCTGGTCGCTGACTGGCTTCATTTTCTGTCCAACAGACAAACCAAGAGCACATGATGGCAACACAGCTTCTCTCATCTTATTGTATTCCCTCTTGGTTTTATGTGTCTGGCAGACAGACATAAATAATGCTAAGTGTTTCACTGCCCTTAGAAGCAAAAGTAACAGGGGCATTCTCATTACTATCATATACAGTTCAAGAGAATATATATCTTTAACTTCAGAGAGAGAAGTGAAAAAAAAAACACTTATAAAAACAGGATCCAATTCTCATTTCTTAAATCTTATTTGTGAGAACTATAAATTATGTTACCTGGACGCGCTCAAAGATGTCTGCCTGCTCATTATCTGTCAGTGAAGAGAGATGCCTCTGTATTACCAGCTTGGCTCGTGGAGGGTAGAGACCTATGGAAAATGATGGAGATAAGTATTAAACACAGTAGCTGATGTATATATACATCAAAATGTATACATAATGCATTACAGACTGTCCCTTTAGCAGGCTCTGAAGCTAAATGTTCTCAAGGAGATGTGTTCCCACCCATAATAAACCTTGGAAACCTACCATGAAATGATTAAAGCTAGATGGAACCTTACCTAAATCAACCGACCCCTGTCGGTATCCTGAAGTTAGAATTATTTTTTTTAACTTTTTTAATGTTTATTGATTATTTCTGAGAGAGACAGACAGACACAAGTGAGGGAGGGGCAGAGAGAGAGGGAGACACAGAATCTGAAGCTTCTAGCTGCCAGCACAGAGCCTGATGCGGGGCTCGAACGGACAAATCATGAGATCATGACCTGAGCCAAAGTGAGACGTTTAACCAGCTAAGCCACCCAGGCACCCTCTGGAGTCAGAATTATTAACAAGAAGTTTCTAAATGATACCAAATCAACAGCATAACCAGGTACCGTTTAGTATACTTTAGTATACTAACAAACTTTGACGCCACAGAAACTTGTGGGTGAACACTAGCCTTGGCCAAAATCTCTAAGCTTAAACATGACCAAAAAAAAATTGTTTTTGAGAGAGAGAGAGAGAGCAGAGGGTCAGAAGGATGGGGAGAGAGAGAATCTTAAGAAGGCTCCATGCCCAGAGCAGAGCCTGGCACAGGGCTTGATCTCGTGAAGGTGAAATCATGACCTGAGCCGAAATCAAGAGCAGGACGTTTAACCCACTGAGCCACCCAAGTAACCCAACGTAACATAATATTAATTTAATATTAATAATATTAAAAGGCAGAGCTCCAGCACAAACAGAATCTCTCCTCATCATGCAGGTCTTGTTTCACAGAACAAAATTTCAAGAATAGCAATAGTATTTAGTGACATTTTTAGTGTTATTATTTTACCAAGAAATTGTTTACCTCTGTGTATCATGTTATTTTTATATCTACCATACTCTTACACATAATTTATATCAAGTCCTTGGACAAAACATTTTTCCATGAAAACATTTTTGGTTTTATAAATTTTTTTTAAAGAGAAAAGAGTTATTTTCCTCTGAGTGAGATAACACTGTTTGTATTTGCTTTATATTTTATTACCCAAGTAGTATAAATTCCACATTTTTAAAATACTAGAACATTATAGATAGTGATAAATTTGCCTTTGATAGATACTAGAATCAGTGAGCAAAGGCATAAGAGATTTGTACAGATTCAAAGTATCTTCCCTAAAATATTTGTTGGCTCCAGGGTGAAGAATAGTACTTTTATGGTGGAAAATTGCTGAGAGCACCTTGAGCAGGTGATAAGGCCAGCATGACCAGTAATAAACTCCTCAACGTCATGAGTCTCATGACAGGATGCACTGAGAAGGAGGCTGCACCATTTCTACAGTGCTCTTGCTAGGGAGGAGTGCCCTCGTTACAAAATTGAGAAGATATCAAACAGGCTGAACCAAGGGACAACGAGCAAAGTAATGGAGTGATGCTTTTGCGAATGTCAAGGTCACAGAAGACAAGGAGACTGAGGGGGAGGGTGAAGTCACCACTACATATAAGGTAGAATCCTGACTGGGATCCTGGAATGAAAAGGACATGAATGAAAACACTGGTGAAGGATCAAATTAAATGTTTAGTTTGGATAATAATATTGTCCCAATGTTAATTTCCTATGCTAAACATTGCACTGGGCTATAGAAGATGTTAACAATTGGAAAGGATAGGGGTGAACATTTGGAAACTCTCTGCAACTGTCCTATTAATCTAAAAGTACACCAAATTAAAAGTTCTTTAAAAAAGAAATATAGGAAAAATGAACTATTGAGACCTCAACAAAATAAAAAGCTTCTGCACAGCGAAAGAAGCAATCAGCAAAACTAAAAGGCAACCAACCGATGGAATGGGAGAAAGATATTTGCAAATGACACACCAGATAAAGAGCTAATATCCAAAATCTATAGAGAACTTATCAAACTCAAAGCCCAAAAAAACAAATAATCCAGTGAAGAAATGGGCAAAAGACATGAATAGACACTTCCTCAAAGAAGACATCCAGATGGCCAACCAACACATGAAAAAATGCTCAGCATCACTCATCAGGGAAATACAAATCAAAACCACAATGAGATACCACCTTACACCTGTCAGAATGGCTAACATTAACAACTCAGGCAACAACAGATGTTGGCGAGGATGCAAAGAGGATCTCTTTTGCACTGCTGGTGGGAATGCAAACTGGTGTAGCCATTCTGGAAAACAGTATAGACGTTCCTCAAAAAATTAAAAGTAGAACTACCCTACGATCCAGCAATTGCATTACTAGGTATTTATCCAAGGGATACAGGTATGCTGTTTCGAAGGGGCACATGCATCCCAATGTTTATAGCAGCACTGTCAACAATAGCCAATGTATGGCAAGAGCCCAAATGTCCATCGATGGATGAATGGATGAATGGATAAAGAAGATGTGGTCTGTATACATATATATACACACACAAACACAATGGAGTATTATTTGGCAATCAGAAAGAATGAAATCTTGCCATTTGCAACTATGTGGATGGAACTAGAGGGTATTATGCTAAGCGAAATTAGAGAAAGACAAATATCATATGACTTCACTCATATGAGGACTTTAAGAGACAAAACAGATGAACATAAGGGAAGGGAAGCAAAAATAACATAAAAACGGGGGGGGGGGACAAAATATAAGAGACTCTTAAACATGGAGAACAAACACAGGGTTACTGGAGGGGTTGTGGGAGGAGGGATGGGCTAAATGGGTAAGGGGCAGCAAGGAATCTACTCCTGAAATCACTGTTGCACTATATGCTAACTTGGATATAAATTTAAAAAATAAATTAAAAAAAAAGAAATATAGGATATTATGTATTTTTCCAGATAAAGCAAAGTGTATGTGTTATTCAGCAAATTATATTTTCACTCAATTATATAATTTTAAAATGTATCCAAGTTGATATACAGTTGAAATTCATTCCTATTAATTCATTGTATGAACATATTTCAGTTATGCTATTGATACACATTTGGGTTGTTTACAATTTCCCCTTATTTAAAAACAATACAACCTTGAAAATGTCACCTTCTGAACCCATGTGAGAGTTTCTCTTATCAAGACAAGGAACCGGTGGGCAATTTTAGGTTAATACATTTCTATCAACTGTCCCCCAAAATGGCTACACCAACTTATACGACATTCAGCATCACATAAATGTATCAATATCCCCACAATTTCATCAACAGTTAATCTGATGAGTATCTTACTGTTTTTTCCATTTTCATGTGTCTGACATCTAATAAGGCTGAGAATCTTCTCATTTTTATTATTGGACCTTTTCATTTCCTTTTTACACAAGTGTTTTTTAATATGAATTGTGTCATTGCCTACTGGTGGTTTTATCTTTCTCTTTCACACAGTAAGTGTTCTTATAAATTCTGATTACCAATCTGCTATCTCCTTACCTCTTGTTTATTATTCTTTTTTTTTTTTAATGTTTATTTATTTTTGGGATTTTTATTTATTTATTTATTTATTTTATTTATATTATTTATTTTATTTATTTTATTTATTTATTTTATTTATTTATTTTATTTATTTATTTATTTTATTTATATTTATTTATTTTATAAATATATATTTATTTATTTATTTATATTTATTTATTTATTTATATATATCTATTTATTTATTTTATTATATATTTTATTTATATTATTTATTTATTTATTAAAATTTATTTATTTTATTTATTTATTTATTGGGATATTTATTATAGGGGCAGAGAGAGAGGGAGACACAGAAACCAAAGCAGGTTCCAGGCTCCGAGCTGTCAGCATACAGCCCGACACGGGGCTTGAACTCACAAGCTGTGAGATCGTGACCTGAGCCGAAGTCGGACTTTCAACGGACTGAGCCACCCAGGAGCCCCCTCTTATTTATTATTTAGCTTTCAAATAAGTAGTTGATATGTAAAAATGTAAATCCTTATGAGGTCAAATCTATCAATGTTTTCTTTTAACAGTTACTGCATTTTTGTATCTTAATACAGGCTTTCTTGTTTAAGGACACAAGAATATTCTTATTTTATTTTAATGATTTTAATATTTTGTTTACATTGAGGAGTTTGATCCATCTAGAATGTATTTTGAGTAGGGTAAGTGGAAGGAATATTTCTCTCTTTGGATAGAAAAATGATCCAACACTTCTTCCTGAGCAAGTCAGCCTTTCCTCCAGAAATTTATAATGTTCTCTTTACTATACACCAAAGAATACTCCATTTTTGTAACGGTACAAATGTGAAAATAATGTGCATTTGGTATACTATACACTTTAAAATCTGAATATTACATTTAAATAGTCCTTGATCACACAGCTGAATGGATATTCAATCAACACTGATGTTCATCATCAATTTTGCCATGTGCCTATAATCTTGCTGTCTACTGAGCAGAAATCACAATTGGTATTTACAATGACTAGACCATTCTCTGCCGGGCTCTGGAGCTTGCGTTCTCCCCATCTATCATAATACCTCTCATGCCAAACTGCATTCACTGACTCACATGCCTGTCTTCCACTCTAGATTGTAAGCTCCTGAAGGCACAGGCCGCATCTCAGTCATTTCTGTACCCCCGGTGCCGAGCACATTGCCTGGCACATAGCAGATGCTTAGCAAGGGTTTACTGACTTGCATTTCTTCTCTTGTGAAGTTGTTTTCAACCGTTTTTTTTTTTTTTTTGTTAGTAAGAGATACTGAGGAGAAAGGGGATGTGAGTCACAGAGTCACCTCTCCCTCATTTCCCCTCCCCCTTCCTGAGTACACTTTTTTTAAAAAACCTGCTTTATGATATCACATTATCTATGTCATCTTCAAATGTCCCTCAAAAACCATTCAAGGTTCATTCCAGTTCTATACTTTTAGGGAAAAGAACATATCATCAAGTGAGAGGGGAATAAAAAGAGACTTCTATAAACAGTCGACATTCTGGGATGCCTTTGCCTCTCTTCCCTCATTCGACAAATATTTGGGCAGTTCCCACTAAGTCCACAGCAGTCTTAAGAATTGTGAGAAATCCAACTCCCTTCCTCGAGTCTGCCTTCAGAAAGAAAAATAAAAAATTAAAAAGAGAACGAAAGAAGGGGTGGGGGGAAATGCCAGGCGCCTAGGAGAGAGACTGCTCACACAAATCTGACTGGACATAAGAAAGGACTCTTTGGGCTCTGATTTCACTTAGAAACAAAGAACGATTCAATGACAGGAGTGACTTTCTCACTTTCCCAAATGCCAGAGCAAATCTGCTTTTGCCCTGGGGCCAAGTTATACTGTACCTTCAACCCTCTCACAGAGCTTATGCAGAGAGTGCATGGGGCAGGCCTCGCACAGCTTGATCTGGGTCTTGGCACTCTGCAGGGCAGCTGCTGTGCTGAAAGCCTGCTTCAGAGTCAGCATTACCTCATCCACCTACAGGAAGAAACAGAACTCAGGTCTCTAAAAGTTTGCTTTCACGGTCACACATTGAAAGTCCAACGGCAACGTGAGACGTGGATGCTTGACTAAATAATAAATGAGGGAATTTGATGACTACAGAGCTAGTAGAGAGAAAATATCAAGTGTAACCTTAGACCTTCAATTATCCTATCATTGAAGCTGGATGAAGTGAGGCCATGTGAAGGTGTAGCACACTAATGACTTGAATGCTATTTTTGAATTCCACTGAGGGCTCCACCGTCACTGACAGTCAATCAGATCTTTCTTTAATTAAGTAGTATAACAGACTCCTTGGGAAGTTTTGTCTGCAATCCATAGGGAGCAACAAAAGAGGTTAAATGTTCACTTCTGGCAATAGGTATCCTATTTACTTCATCCTTCTGGATCATTTTTAGTGTAAAAACAAATAAAACATGGGTTTAAGCAAAGTTCTGGGGGAAAACAAGTTCAATTTAAATCAGGTCAAGGGAAGTCTGTGAAGCTTGCTCTGTGTCTGCTAATTTATTATCATTTCACTTCTGATTTATGACACTAAGAAGTTCTGACATCATGTTAGCGAACAGCTGGGTCTCACCACCAGGTCAGCAGTTTCAAAACCTCGAGCCGGTTTCCCCCCAGCCTTTCCAATGACTCAGTCAAGAAGTGTAAACCTAGCATTCTAGCCTACTGGTTGCTTCTTTGGGGTCATCCTCGACCACTGCTACACTGACCTCAGGCTCCGTCTCCCCTGTTGATGTAATCATCAATGTGAGTTGTGGTTTCCCCATATACTGTACACTGATGAAAGTCTAAAACCTCCATATGAAGCTGCGAGGTACCAAGGTCCTCACCAGAGGCAGCTTGGCTATTGAAAACCCAAGTCTCTTTTTCCCCTCCCCCTTCAGCCTGGTTTAAGAAGAAGCTATTATAGAAAGGATTTCATCTACTTCTGCATTCGAGTGTATGAAGAACCTGCAACGAAATAACTTTATTCCTCTAATATTACTAAAAGGAGAGATCCAAACACTGAGCAACCAGTCGTTATTAAGTTGACTATGTGACCAATTTTTTAAAGGCTTGTGAATAATTTCACATTGTTCCATAAATAATGAATTATTCATAACGTCTGCTCTCTTACACCATAACTAAAAGATAAAAATTTCTCACCCTTGAAAACAAAAGCACCACATGTTTAATGCCTTTGCAGTTTTATTTCATTTGCCTTGTTGTGTATTCAAAAGCAATTTCAATGACTTGAGAACATGTTTGTTTTTATTTTCTTGTTTCTCATTTATTAAAGGCACCGAAAGGATGAATCCTCTGCTTAGCTTTCATGTGGAATTATTGTGTGTAATTATTAATACTGCTTTGTAAAGGGCCTCCAATGGAAATACTGAACTTTCACGTTTTCTTCTTTATTTCTAGATGAAACAAAAGCCCATTTCAATGGTATCTAATATGTGGTTACCAATTTCTTCCAGCCACAAATATTACTAAAAACTTTATCGGACTTCTAAAATTTTAAATGTTTTACTTGTTTAGATCCATCATTTTTTTAGATGGCCTATAAATTCTATCATGGGATCAGAGCAACTAAAAGTTCAAACAAGTGCAGTATGAATAACTTAATTGTTTTAGTCTAGATATAACAACCAAAATATCATAGGTCATGTTAAGAGGTTAAAAGTAAAGGACTTAACAAGGATAAATCCATAATGAAGATAATGCCCATAAACATTTTTGCACCAAACTTAGGTATTTCATAGCATTTAAGAATCAATGTAAGAATCACAGAACATGTAAGGACTTCACAGGATTACCTAGTTCAATTCTCTGGAAAATGTAAACTATTAAACTCCATACAAATTCTGGGTCTTGGGAGCATGAGCCTTTTTTTCCCCCCATACTTTTCCTGGATACTGTTGTCTGCATCTGTGGGGTTTTACTTTTCCTTGGTCTATAGGTAGGAACTTCCATTTTTTTCCAGGCCCATTAGAGTAATTTGGAGACTGCAAAAGTGGTGCTTTCCATCAATCTCATGGTTTTAGTCAAACAAGATGAAGCCACCTGCCTACCGCTAGTTTACAAGGGACGGAAGGCATACTGAGCATCTAAACTTGGGGTGAAAAACCCCAGGAGTCATGAGAACCACTACATTGTTTATCAATTCACAGCAACTGCTACAAAAAAAGAAAAGAAAATGTGAGCTGTGTATTCTTTGTACTCAGAGAAGATAACTCAGTATGTGTGGTTTTGCGATACTTTGTCTTACACAACTGCCAAGCCACATCAATCGTAACACCGCTTAGACTATAATATTTAATTAACTGTTTTGTCTATATACCAGCTGCTTGAACTATCCTCATTTAATACAGGAAATCTCATTTAGTTTTTCTTCTAGCTTGGAGTTCTGATGCCCCACATTTCAGTTAAGATGCCACTGATAAAATTAGAATCAACAAGTTTTAAAAGATTCCGGCAAAGCCTTGTTCTAAGGAATAGCAATGCCCAAATGGAGATTTGGACACAGCTTCAGTGTAAGAGGAAGACATTCTCAGCCAGTCTGGGCTGTGGCCTTAGTCACAGAGCTTCCTCAGGTGGAAAATTCAGCACATTCTCAGACTTTCTACTCTTAACTCCCTGTTTCAAACACATGTATGAGGACAAAACAAAAATACTAAAATCTATAAACAAAACAAAACCTGTACAAGAGATTGAGAATAAGGTTTCATGTAGTATTCCCTTCAGTGCAGGTTAACTAGTAATCAGATTAACTGGCACCTAGAAAATGTCTGAAATAAGAGTCACACACTCACTCAGAATACACTGGAAGACCACCTGATACTCTAGTCTAGAAATGTGGGGGGATACAACAAGAATGAGGGTGGTCGTGGCCTTGTATGAGTCACAATCTAGTGGACTAGAAAGTTATGTGAACAAGTAAGAGTGGGCATCGATAGGAACTGTTAGGGACCTATAAACAATGTGTCGCAAGAGCACTGGCAATAAAGCAACTAAAAGAAGTCAATTCCTTAAAAAAAAAAAAAAAAAAAAAAGGGGGCGCCTGAGTGGCGCAGTCGGTTAAGCGTCCGACTTCAGCCAGGTCACGATCTCGCGGTCCGTGAGTTCGAGCCCCGCGTCGGGCTCTGGGCTGATGGCTCAGAGCCTGGAGCCTGTTTCAGATTCTGTGTCTCCCTCTCTCTCTGCCCCTCCCCCGTTCATGCTCTGTGTCTCTCTGTCCCCAAAATAAATAAACGTTAAAAAAAAATTAAAAAAAAAAAAAAAAAAAAAGCCATCCGAGAAAGCTTCACTAGGATGTACACAAATACAAAGCTGAAAAGAAGAAGGGGATGTAAGTGACCATAAAGCAAGGCCAGGCTGGGGTCACATCCAATGAAGAAGTAAAGAGAATGTGAAAACAGTTAATGAAAGAATGGCACAGTCTCCCTGTTCGGAAGCAGCACAGACCCTGGAGACCCACCAGGTCACCCTCCCTCCTGACAATATAAAAGTGTGAGCCCTGGCTGTGACTTCTTCTCACACAGCAGACTCCTCACTCTGCGCAGCCAACAGTGACCTCAGAACGTCAGTTGTACTTGTGTGGGCTCCAGCCACTCACTGAACATCTTGATCCCATGTGTCCCAAACCACATGAAAGCAACCTCACACCAATCATCACACCAGCCTCTGCTGTCTGGCCCAGAGACCAGCTCGGGCCATGTGAGAATACGGTCACGAAAGGGAGAGGCAACCCAGTGGGGACCAGAGAAAGAGGAAGGCCCTTTTGCCATGCCAGACAACCTAGAGCTTGTCTTTTAACAAGGAAGCATAATCTGGTTCCTGGAAGTTTTGGGAGAAAAAAAACCTAGAGCATGATGCACAAAGTGGACGGATGACATATTAAGCCAGTGAGCGGCAGGGAGACTAGTTAGGACCCTAGAGTGATGATGGCCTAAGCAAGGAAGAGGAATGCCCAGACTCAGGTAGCAGGCAGAGAGGGAAAGGAGGAGAAATGGATAAGGGACTTTTCTACCTTTACCTTAACAGGATTTGGTGAACAAGGGGTACAGAAGGTGAAGGAGAATGCCTTATGATGTCTAAATTCAGAAGCTGGGTAAATGGAGCTGCTAAAATAAAACACGGAACACTGGACAGGTTTTGGAAAGGCAGAAGAGTAAGGGATCCCCGACATGGTGGAAGACTCAGCCTCAGCAAGGAAGAGGAACCATGGAAGGAGGGAGGGAGGGGTGAGCAGGGAGCAGGACGGCATATTCTCCTGGCCTTATTTTCTACCTAATGCTTACCTGGCTGGCACTTTCCAGTTCTGTGTCACTGTTCTCTTTGGCTTTCTCTTTCTCCTTCCCCGTCCTCATCTGCTCCCATGCCTTCAACTATCATTTATATGATGGCAACTCTCAAATTTCTATCTCCAATCCTGAACTGGACCCATTACACAGTGGTCACCTGGATCTCAACATGGGGAGTTTTTCTGGGCATGGTTAATTATCTAGCATGAGAACAAAATGTAAATGGAACTCTCTTGAGGAAGAAATTGTTAGTGATGGGAGTACTCTATTCCCCAGAGAAACAGGTTGAGATCCCAGAGGGCCCCAGGCAGAAAGTGCCCTTGTTGGAGCACCTGGGTGGCTGACGCAGTGGATCGCCAGAGTCTTGATACCATACGGACTCAGGTCGTGATCTCGTGGTTGTGATCTCACGGTTGTGGGATCGAGCCCCACGTGCAGCCAGCACTGAGCAGAGCCTGCTCGGAATTCTCTCTCCCTCTCTCTCTGCTCCTCTTCTGCTCGCGCTCTCTCTCTCTCAAAATAAATGAAAACTCAAAAAAAAAAAAAAAGAAAAAGAAAGAAAGAAAGTGCCTTTGTACCAATTCACTCCCATTTCTTCATTTTTCCTACTCTCAGTGTCTATATGGGGAATATGGGAGGCCAGAGTTGAGCAGAAATGCTGGCAATGTGCACCAAAGAAATGAGGAGAATGCTGTCTGTCTTGTTGTGTACATCTAAGAGGTGTGTGTTTCCCCAGGAGAAATGCTTGCAGGCAGACTATATACCTACAGACATATTTTTCTTCAAAGTATGGTGACAGAGCTAAAGGTTTGTGTTAAAATGGTTAAGAGAGATCATAAAAGTGGAAGAAAAAGTAAAAAATGTTAGGGGAAAAATATCAAAATATTTTTAGTTGCTCACGTGCATTTCTAAGTTTGCCTTAAATATTTCTTCAGCTCCAGCTGCCCCCATGAAGGGGTAGGTAGAGGGAGTGAGGGGAGGGTGTTGGAAAAAAGAATCAACTTTTAAATTCCAAAGAAAGAAAATAAAGGCTAAAATAAGACCATAAGAAATAAAGTTTTTAAAAAATGAGAACAGTCGCTAATTAAGAAAGCCAAATCCTTCTCTGCTGATGTAAGCATTACCTCCTCTGAGATGTTATAATAATTCAGAGAATAAGAGATCCGTGGTCTTCCTTTTTGTCTTATCTGAGCAATGGGAAAAAGAACAGCTCTTTTCCTGTTATTAGTGTTTTCCTACCTTGTACAATACTCCTGGTCACATGACTGGATCTGTTCAACTCCAGAAGGCATGTAGGCTTAAAAATTACCGTGACACTATGTTTTTGTCTTTCTACTATTGTGCTGCTTTAAACAGCAGAGACCTGTCTCTAGATGCCCTCTTCTTTTCCACTGGTGGCAGCTGCGTGAGGCTTGGGTGCACCCTGGTAGCCGGAGTGGGCAGGAGCTAGCGGACAACGATCAACCACTTACCAGGGATTCACTGGCACACTGGAACACATAACAGATATACTGGCTCAGCCCAGGCTCCGGTGACTCCCGACAGATAAAGCCAAAGTGATCAACATGCTTTATACCCTACAGTTGGGGAAAAAAAGTACAGCGTTCATTGGAATATGTCCATTTAATCAACACTACGGAAATTAGCTTCAGTTCTATGCTTTCACGCTTCCATGAATTACTCCTTCTCAACCCTGGGATAGGGGACATAATGACACAGCAAATTTGTGTGGTGGTCTTTTGACACATAAAATAAAGGGAGAGACCAATTCAGATTGCTTTGTTTCAGACAAACACTCCTGCACACTGTGACTCTGGCCACAGGAAGAAAACTATGATGGCGTGATTCATTGTCTCTTGTAATAAAACTGCTACTCGGTGTTTGCAAGTAATGGAGTTTTCAATTTATTGGTCTTCTTGGAACGAACGGTCTGATACTTTATCAGAAGCCCTGTTCTCGTCTATATGAAGCTAAGAATCAGAAACACTACAGCTAACAATGCTCTAATTAAATGGTATGCAATTCCCCAAAGTGTGCACTGAAAATACTAGAATACCTGTCTATATGCATAGATATTCAAGGAGCCACAATGGTTAGAAAAATAATATATTAATGAAATTACTGCAGGTATCAATTATCCAAATTAAAAGTCACTGTACTTTCTGAATGCAGGCTAAATAACCTCAGTTATGCTTAATAAAAAAAAATTGTGAATCATCTGTCAATTTCAGCCAGGCTGAATCCATACATAACCAATTAGGAGACAGCACCTTGTTATTTTAATAGCAAGCACAGTACTCTAAAAAGCCAGGTAGACAAAAAATTTAAAGTTGTCATGCAATCACCTAAATCCCAGTGAAAAGAAAATAGGCTTTGGAGTCAGACAGATTTGTGCTTCATTCTTACTTCAACCCATCTACAAGATATGAGACACTGTGCTGGGTTTCTAATAATGATCTCTAAGGCTCCGTTTCTCATTATAAAATAGTAGTAGTAATGGTACCTATGCCAGCAATTTTCAAAATTTACAACTAAGAATTATCTATAATAGTCACCAGCACATAACTTTGATAAACGGTAACCTCTATTACGTATCTTGTAATATACTCAGTCTATCCAATGGATATGAATAAGGGAAATCAATTCTGACCAAAGAAAAAAGTCAATAAGGAGGAATGAGGTTACAATTTATGAGGTAAAAGTAAGCTCCATCTGGCACAACTCCTTAGTGATTAAAAAATATCTTTTACTAGCTTAGTACTAAATGGGAAAAATTCATAGCACCTCATTAACTTAGGGAGACTTCAAGCAGTGGCAATGTCTCCAGAAAAGAAAAGCCACTCCCTTCTTCCCTATGCTTGCCAGGGACACAGTCCTATAGATTTTGCACAAAGAAACTGTTTGTAGGTGTGAATGTGTTAAAAAGCAGGTCTGTTGCTGAATGTGGCCACATTGTATCAGTTCAGTTCAGTGTGGAGACAAGTAATAAGAGCAGGGCACTCAGTGAGGAGCAGAGGTTAACCTGACAAATATTCTCATCAAAGGCCTTTCCCCAAATGTTTAATTCTTTTTCTGCACCAGAAGGTTAGAAAACAAAGCTTGTTTTAGAAAAAGAGGGGGAAAAGCAAAATCATGTTTGGACTGCTAGTTTTATATATTTGGTTTGGTTGGGGTTTTTTCCTTTTTTTTTTACACCTCTTCCCCCCTCCCCCCCTCCCCGCCTTTGGATGTTCAATGATAATTGCTAGTTTCCTTACTGGGAGGTCTGAGGACTGGACAGGTGAGAGGCATAGCTTTTTAGAATGACTGTTGGTGTTCCGGGGGGCAGAAACTACACTGGTTTGTACATCACTTCTTCCTCTATACTTGCCACAAGGTCCCACATATAGAAATGCTCATTCAACATTTATTGAACACTTAACTATTAAGCTATATCTTAACATTTTATTCTGATGCCTTACAGAATGAGACACCACAAAATAAGACACCTGCCCTCACAAAGTTTATGATCTTGCAGGGACTCTCCAGTAGGCAGGTAATTACAAGACTTAATAACTATTTTTTTCAGGGGTGCCTGGGTGGCTCAGCCAGTTGAGCATCTGACTCTTGATTCTGGCCCAGGTCGGGATCTTGCGGATCATGGGTTCAAGCCCTGGATCAGGCCCTGTGCCGACAGTGCAGAGCCCACGTGGGATTCTCTCTCTACCTCTCTTTCTGCCCCTCCCCTGCTCACACTCTTGCTCTAAATAAATAAATAAACTTTTTTTTTTTTGTTTTTTTCAGTTAAAGTGAATATAATCTTTCTACCACATTTTTGGTCCTTTAAGTAGAATTTAGAAAATTACCATTCATCATTCCTATAAAGATGCTGCCTCTCTCTCTCTGTTATTAAAGTAGAAAGTTTTTACCTTCATGACATTATTTTATGTCACCATGTAATATAACAAATATTAGAATATTAGAAGCAAAACTGCATTAGCTGAGGCCAGGGTGAATAATTAACAAGATGTACAAAAGCTTGTCATTTTTGAAAGGCAGAATGTCTAACTATTATACCTATGGCAATGCTAAGTCTGAAATTTAAAAATAAATAGGAAGTCCCAGGGTGCCTTCTTAGCTCAGTCGGTTTGAGTGTCTGACTCTTGATTTCAGCTCAGATCACGGTCCTAGGGTTGGGTTGTGGGATGGAGCCCCACATAGGGCTCTGTACTGAGTGTCTCAGAGAGTCTCTCTTCCTCTGCCCCTCGCCCCTGCTCACACACTCTCTAAAATAAAAATTAAAATAAAATAAAAATAAATGGGTAGTCTTGTGTGTTTGGGTTTTTTGTTTTGTTTTGTTTTGTTTTTTTGGTAGTCTTGATTTTTCAACATTAAAATACAGAAAAGGACCTTGGCAAGATCTAGGTCCCTAAAGGTGCACCTAAGTCACCCCACTAGGAGAGAAGTTAATCCTTTTCTATTTCAGAGGCCTCCACTGAGGCATCCTTGCATTATTAACCTTCCCATATTTAGGTTTAGATACTCTCTCCACTCCAACATCTTCAAAAACTCTTTCTGTGTTTACAATATATTTAGGAAGCTCTAACTTTCAGACAGGCATTGTAAATTATTACTGTGGACACTGGTGTAGGCCTACTATGACCTTGCACACATTTAGCTGTGTCAATAATTTTAAAACATTCAAATACACAGTTTGTGACCTAAAAATAAACAAAGAACAAAAATATACCAAAACGTTATTTTTCCAACTTTAGCATTTACATTAAAAGAGGTTGAAAGTACTAGTTCTCCTTTTACTACCTACTAGGATATAAAGAGCAAACATGACTCAGTGATACCCACAAGTCCCACTGCCTGAGACTCTGAGGAACACTAACTGTGAAGGTATGTCCAAAAGAACTCTCCGCCACAAAAATTCCACCAGAGGAAGGTATCTGATGAAGTGACATTACAAGGAGAAGACAAAAATGAGGACCAACTATTAATATACTGAGGGACCTGGACAGGATTTTGTTATCAGCAGAGACACAAACACAAGAGCTCTTATTTAAGACAAATCCACTTAAAAAATTAAAATTCCAAAAAAAAACAGTAAAATTTGAAGGAGTCTAAATCTAGTTATTGGATGGTTAATTTAAAAACAAGATTAAGTGGGGCGCCTGGGTGGCTCAGTTGGTTAAGTGCCAGACTTCGGCTCAGGTCATGATCTCACGGTTTGTGGGTTCAAGCCCCACATCAGGCTCTGTGCTGACAGCTCAGAGCCTGGAGCCTGCTTCAGATTCTGTGTCTCCCTCTCTCTCTGCCCCTCCCCTGCTTGTGCTCTATCTCTCTCTCTCAAAAAATAAATATTAAAAAAAAAATTTTTTTTTTTAAATAAAAACAAGATTAAGTTGGCTTCATCAAACATAAGATGTACCTTAATACATACCTGAGAACAAGAAGAGATATCTTTAAAATTCTTTTCAAGCACAACTGATTTAGTGTCTGGACTGATAAGGTTAATCTCAAACCGCCCAACCTTAAAAATAAAAACATTCCAGTGAATTTCAACTTGCAAGGACCCAACATCTTACTTTACAATTAAATATCCAAATAGAATATAGATTCAATTGCTCACATATTCACATGTGCTTCAACACCCAATCCAACCAGTATTTCAACTCCAAATATCGGCTGCCTCACCACATTTCCTCCTTTTGTCCAAACATCATGAAAATTAAACAGGTCTTAAGTTACAAGATACAAGAAACCTTTTTTTTTTTTCATATTAAAAGTGATTGTCTTTTTAAAAACATGCAACCTTTCCTCACTTCACGATTTCTAAAGCACCAATTATTTTATTATAATTGATAATCATACTTCCTCCCAAATGCAAAGATAGTATTTGCAATTGGACAGATTAGTTAAAATTTTTGAAAACCAACAACCAGAGAAATTAACATCAATTCCTGATGCTAGTTAAAAAAATGAATAAATCCGACAGCCCCAAAAGAGAGGAAGCTCAGTCAGAGTTATCACCCAAGAAAAGACCATGGACACTTTCATTACATGCCTAGAGTTATCAAAAACAAAAGAACCCATGAACCTCTGATAGGTCAGGATTACACACAGGGATTGTTTACCAAGGTACACTGTGGAATTTCCTTGCCTAGGGTTCGTTAGTTACCACAGGATAAAAGGACAGTCACTCATTTTTTTTTTTTTTTTTTTTTTTTTTTCAGGAAAAGTCAGATCTTACAAGCTGAGGACTAAAGAACCTTTCCAGGGCTTTGTTTTCACTGAATTTCTTTCAGGTGCAACTTGGCATTTTCTATCTCCTGTACAAATTCGAAAACTACTTTTTAGAATGAAGATGTATCTTTTACATCTATAATACAGTCTGTACCACATTATTTTAGTAACGGATCCAGTAAGTAGTCAGGCCCATGATGTTTCTTTAACCTTCTTCTTGGGTGTAACAGAAGGAACTGGTGTGTTCTCATCTGAAAATACACCTGTGAGTCTCTAGACTTTTCCTTCTCTAAAGAAAACTTTCTCTAACCCCATGCCTATCTCACTTTCCTAGATTCACATCTTTAAATCCGCTGTAAGACTGGCTTTCTGCAGCTGTAGAAGAGACAGCCAACAACTTCTTTAAGATCAATCTAAGGCAAACGCTGGGGGCACGAAGGAGAATCTACTTCATTGCTTTTTTCTCCGTCTCTCCGTGTCCCGTTCCCTCATTTCTTAAAATCCGCATTCCAGGTCTTCCTCGCAGCCCTGTTCTGCTCGCCTTTGCTCTTCTCTCCACCAGCCTAGTCTTCTGGCAGGGAAGAGCGGAGACTGGAGGAGCGAGTGCAGAGCGCGGAACAGGGCGGGGCCGGCCCGGTCAGCGCCGCGCGAGGGAGCCCCGCCCGCATCCTCCCCTCCCCCCAACCCCGCCGGGGCGGCACCTGGAACAGCATCGTCCTGTTCTTCTCCGAATCCGAGGGCTGTACGTGACTCGGCGCGCTGGCGTGTCTCCTCCGCGGCTGTGGTTTTTGGCTGTTCTCCTGAACCTTCCTTTGTAAGACGCCAGTAACACTGCTGCACCGAGACCGGAACTCCTGCTGTTCGTCAAAGCCACAATCTTCCAAAATCCGCTCCGGGAAGCCAACTCGAGAGCTGGGCAGCCCGGGCTGGCCGGCCGCGGCTGCGAAGGCGGGCTGGATGCTGGGGAGGCCATCCCCTTCCTCCGCCAGGACTTGTGAGGCTGCGGCCTCGAAGACCACCGGGTCATCGTCCGCCTCCGCGCCGCCGCGCGGCTCGCCCTGGCTCTTCAGGCGCTGCTGCTCGTGCAGACTGAACTTCTCGATGCAGTCGTCGATGAGGCTCGACGGGGCCTTCTTGTGGGTCACGGTCACCTTTCCGCAGTACAAGACCTCGAACTTCTGAGAGTTGTAAAAGGCATCCTCGTTGTCTTTGCTGGCTTTGGCATCCTCTTTCATGGCAGCTTTCGATAACTGCCTTATGCTGCTTATAACATCAGGAACCTGGAAAAGAATTTAAAATCCACATCTCAGTTGAGTATTTATTTAGAGATCATTAGCATTTACCCAGACTTGTTCTTTTCACACAGAATGCATTCTCATTCTAAATGATAACATATAGAAAGGAAGTCAGACCACACCCAAGGTAAAACTTAAATTACACTGTCAGACATAAATGACTTAAAAGTAGGATAGAAATTTAATATCAGTATTATACTTTCCCATTTTAAATGCATTTGTTTCCCAAAAACAAAACTGAGATTAAATAGGCCACCGCCAGCCTTTAATAAATCATAATATATCCTTTGAGTAGTCTGAAAAGTTACAATGATGGGCCAGTTTTAAAAAATTAAGATTTAAACAAAAGTATACACTAACAGATATCAACCAGGACTGAAAAAATAAATGTAATAAATAAATAAATAAATAAATAAAAGTTATTATAAGTCTCAGCTAAAAGGAACCAATGTTTCAACAATGAGGATAAAATAAACTTTCTGGATAAGGACATTAAGATCCAGACACTTCTCATCTGCATATTAAAAGCATAGTAAGATACCATTACATACCCATTAGAATGGCTAACAACAAAAAGATGAAGGACCTGCTGGGGTGTGGAGCTCTCATACATTGTAGGCAGAAATGTAAAATGGCAAAACCACATTAGAAAATCTTTGGGGAGTTTCTCCGGAGTTAAGTGTAGATCTATCTCATGACCCAGTAATTCCACTCCTAGAAATTGAGCTAAGAGTCCTGAAAACGTATGTCCACAACAAAACCTAGTCCACAAATATTCATAGAAGCCTTACTCACAATACCCAAAATAACCAACCCAAATGTTCATCAGCAAGTGAACACTCACTAAGCATCAGGGAAATGCAAATCAAAACCACAAGGAGATATATCATCTCACCAAATGGTTATCGTTGAAAAACGCAAGAGAGAAGTACCGGCAAGAATGTGGAGAAAAGGGAATCCCCATGTTGTGTCAGTGGGAACGTAAACTGGTGCAGGTAGTATGGAAAACAGTATGGAGTTTCCTCAAGGTACTAACCATGGAACTTTTATATGATCTACCAATTTCACTTCTGGGTATATATCTAAAGGAAACAAAAATCACTATATCAAAAAAGATACCTGCACCCCCATTATTAACAATAGCCAAGACATGGAAACAACCTCAGTGTCTGTCCATAATTAATAGATTTAAAAAATATACAGATATAAATATAAATGCACAGGAATATTATCAAGCCATAAAAAAGGAAATCTGCCATTTGTAGCAACATGAATGGACCTCAAGGGCATTATGCTAATTGAAATGTCAGAGAGAGAAAGACAAATACCACATGATCTTAATTATATGTGGAATTTTTAAAAACTGAACTCACAAAGAAAACAGATTGGTGGCTGTCAGAGGCAAAGGAGGTAAGGGGTGGAGGTTTGCTAGGAATGGGTGGAGGTGGTTAAAAGGTACAAACATAGTTATAAATAAGTTCTGGGATGTCATATATAGCATAGTGACCATAGTTAATAACACTACATTATATATTTGAAAGTCGCTACAGAAGTAGATCTTAAAAGCTCTCATCACAAGAAAAAATCTGTAACTATGTGGCGAATGATGTTAAAATGATTTTGGCAATCATTTTCCAATATATACATGTATCAAATCCTTATACACCTTGAGCTAATACAACCTTGTATGTCAATTATGTCTCAATAAAACTGAAGAAAAAAAAAAGCAAGCAGCTAAAATGTGGTACATTCATACAACAGAATACAAATCTTCATCTCTCACTTGGTTTACTGCACACATCTTTTAACTGGTGTCCCTTGCCCCCTTCAACCTACTCTCAAAAGCCAAAAGATCCTTTTTAAACTGAAGTAGAATCCTTTTTAAACTTACTTCACATTACTCACCTGCAAATCCTCCAAGCTGCCCATTTCATTAAAGACAAGATCCTAACAATGCCCTAAGGCCCCCTCGCCATTTGCATGTGATAAATGTATAGATTAAATATGCCCTGTGGCCACATGTCCTCCATATGACCTTTAGTCAACCTAGATTTTCATCTTGTCATCCTAACCCCATTTCCTAGGACCTTACTCCTAAACTCCCTCGCACTCTGCAGCAGCCATACTGGCCTCCTCAGAGCCATTCCTGGGACATGCCCGCCACATTCCTCCCTCAAGGGCTCTGAGCTCCACGCTCCTCCCCTAGTTAACTGCATGGCTCACTCTCTCACCTCATTAAATCCACGCTAATACCACCTTGTGAGGCAGCACCCACCCCCACACCAAAACACAGGCACGCGCTTGCACGCACACTGACATAGCCACCATTCCCTGGATTTTCCCCCACTTTATTACTCTCTCTATATAGCACTTATCTCTTTTAACATCCTGTATGATTTCTCTGCCAGAAATGTAGACCCTATGAGGGCAGTGATTTCTGTCTTTTGTGTGTGTTTTTTTTCTTTCATTTTTTCCTTGTATCCCAGAACCTAGAATGATTCCTGGTACAAAGTACATACTTATGTTGGCCAACGGAAAACAAAAAAAAAACAAGAACTTTCTGGATAATTTTTACCTTTGGGAAAGAAGATAATTTTATATTCAGGGCTGCTTCACATTTAGACATACGTGATAGGTCTTTAAATCTTCTAGCACCAATTCTAAAACCGGAACTTCTCTTCACATAATTATTTGAGATATACTGCCAGAACACTCACAGGTTAAAATCATAAGAATTTTGGGGCTCCTGGGTGGCTCAGTCAGGCTACCGACTTTGGCTCAGGTCATGATCTCGTGGTTTGTGAGTTCGAGCCCCACGTTGGGCTCTGTGCTGACAGCTCAGAGCCTGGAGCCTGCTTCAGATTCTGTGTCTCTTACTCTCTCTGCCCCTCCCCCACTTGTTCTCTGTCTCTGTCTCTCAAAAATAAATAAATGTAAAAATTTTTTTTTTTTTAAATCATAAGAATTTCAGCTTGCTGGTCAAGTACTTCCTTTGAAAGAATAAAGTCCAAATGCTATAGTTTCAGTGACTACCCTGAACACCTGACCTATCTTGGGAAAGAAGTCAGGTGTCTTATACTCACACATGACCAGCAACCTTAGGCCCCTGTCCTTTTCTTTTTGCCTTAGTATCTGACAAGGGCCAAAGCTAAGGAGAGTGAGCTAGACATTCAACCCTACGAAATGCAAAATGTTTCTAGCGGCTATTGGGCCAAACCCTGAGACAGATGGATGCCTTCTTCCTCACTAACCATATTTCACGAAATACTTTTCATCTAATTTTGCAATCCAAGTGTTCCTAAGTTTCCAAAGTGTCTCTGTAGAGTGCAGAAGAAATAATCTGACTTGTTAACTGCACCATGAAATACAGATTCTAGTTACCTTTAATATTCTCTCTCAGGTCATGACTATCAACAGCTTTCCATGACCTGGGATGCAGAGAGGCCCCACCTGCTGAACTGACCTAGCAACACCCGACTCTGTTTTTGCTTATTGTTACATGGAAAACACGCATAAAACATTATACAGCCCCTGCCAACACGCTCAGAGCCCACATGGGGAGGGAGACACTGATAAAGCAAGGTCAGTAAAATATCAATAGTGAGGAAATGAGTTATTAGAGAAACATGAAAACCTATAAGACATTTAATTGGAGAGGTCAATCAGAAGCAGCACAAAAGAAAGAAAACGCAGTCTAGTACTTGCACATACACATGATATTTTGGGAAAATGGCATTCTCTTCTAGGACAGTGTTGATATTTTTTATGTACATTTCTACATTTTTAATGAATTTGACTCTTTGTAGGTACTGAATGTTTCAACATATTTTCCCCCCCCCCCTCCCCACTATTATTATACTGTAAACTCCTAAGTGGAGGACTCAGTGATGGTGATTTTGTTCTTACTAGAATTCTTCCATGTGACCACTGGGAAAGTATTCTGTGCTCAGAAGAAACTGAGTGACTATTGTCAACAAACAGAGGTAATAAATAGTAGCAAACAACTACCTAGAATCCTGATAAAAGTTCTCTAGGACTGCTACAGGCTTAGTAAATTCCTGTTGCTAACCTGAAATCTGGTACCCCAAAAGAGGAAAGCCATAGCTTTTCACTCTGCTCAGTGCTCACCCAACTAGGAAGTGAATATACGGTCAGGAATGTCTCCAGATGCCATAGAGCACCTCAAACTATACAGTCTAGGTGCAAAATCTAGTTATTCATACCCTAGCAGTGAATCATGCCAATGTGCAGAACCTGACCATGTCGTATGGAGCCTGATGAGGATTTCATGCCAACTAAAGGCAAAGGTTTTATCCTGTAGCAGCACATAATCTTTAACACAAAACAATGATAATGAAAAAGACTAGCCAAACTAGGGATCGAGAGATTTGTAGTCTACCCCCAGCTCTGCCAGGAATTTGTGATATTCTGCATCCGAGAGTTTCCCTACCAGTGAAAGGGGGTGGGGGGGGGGTGAGATAGATGGTCAATAAGACCTCATCCAGACCCAAATTTCTGTGAGTTTATTTTTGCACCAATGTCAATACAGGAACAAGGAGATGGAAAATCAACTCTACTATTAAACCAGAAATAGTATAAGTCATTGAAATGATTTGTTTTCATTAACACACAAGATTCGATTCAGCAAACAATAAATGAGCAGGGCTTTTTTCCAAATGCCTCATAATATCAAGAAAAAGCACAGTGCCACCTTTAGCCAGTATGTTGTTGTTACACCTTCAGTGATCTCACTAAAAGAATTTAGATGCAAGTATTAAAAGGCAGACAATAGCAATTCCTCACTCTAGAGAGAAAAACAAAAAAATGTCACTAGATCGCTAGATGCCATGCTGTGGTTTCTCATTATCATGATTAGTTATCACACTCCAAGAAATCCAGGGGTATTATAAGAATTGTACTCCACCTGACTTCAAAAGAAAACAAATTTTACAAGAACCACAACTGATATTTAAAGGCCTAGGCAA